TATATATATATATATATATATATATATATATATGTATGTATGCATGTATATATATACAAGAAAAGGTTGTTAATAGAGAGTAAAGCATTAGAAATTAATGCAAATGTGCCTTTTTTAAAATGTGATATTAGTTTCTTTACTTATTCAGAATCAGAATCAGTTTATTATTGCCATGTAAATGAACGAGGTTCACAAACTAGGAATTTGCTTCGACATAAAGGTGTGAATAGTAATAAAGTAAAATAAAGTAAAAATGAAAACATTACATAAAACCTGTGTACACCCATAAATAAAGTAAAAATTAAAACATAACATAACCATGTGTACACCCATACAATAGAAAACAATAAAAAAATCTTAGAAAACAGTACAGATGGAGTATTCAATTATAATACAGATGTAATGTGACCAAAGCAGAAATTATGAGGTAGCATTATGAGTGTTCAGGAGTCCAACAGCAGAGGGGAAGAAACTGTTCTTATGGCGGGAGGGTCTGGTCCGAATGGACCGAAGCCTCCTGCCTGAGGGGAGTGGTTCAAACAGTCCGTGTGCAGGGTGAGCAGGGTCAGCTGTGATCCGACCTGCTCGCCTCACAGTCCTGGAGACGTACAGGTCGTGGAGGGATGGAAGGCTGCAGCCGATCACCTTCTCAGCTGAGCGCACAACGCGCTGCAGTCTGAGTCTGTCCCTGGCAGTGGCCCCGGCGTACCCACCGTGATGGAGGAGCTGAGGATGGACTCGATGATGGCCGTGTAGAACTGCACCATCAGCTTGGCCGGCAGCTTGGCCTTCTTCAGCTGTCGCAGGAAGTACAGTCTCTGCTGGGCCTTCTTGATGAGGGAGCTGATGGTCGGCTCCCACTTCAGGTCCTGGGTGATGGTGGTGCCGAGGAACCGATAAGAGTTCGCAGTGGTGGTGGGGGTATCATTACAGGTGAGGGGGGTGGGGGGGGCAGAGGGGCTGTGGCTTTCCTGAAATCCACAATCATCTCATCATCATTATTATGTTCAGTTCTATTCAGTTCAGTTTATTATTCACTTTATTCAACTCCAGATGCAGGAAGAGAGTCACCTGCATCATGAAGGACCCCACTCACCCAGCACACACTTTTTGCCCTGCTCCTCTCAGGTTGAGGAGCATTACAACACTAGACTGAGGAACAGCTTCTACCCTGAAGCTGTTAGACTCATGAATCTCTAATCAGAATAATCACTGTGAAAAATCACATCATGTTGCTGCTGATCTGTTTCATGTTGATGTGTTCATGCGTGCTCATCTGCTCACACAGACTCATGCTCATGTTCGTACTGCTGTTGGACATAATGCTTTTAAGATATTAGTGCTTAGTGTATATTTAGTTGATGTTTTTCTTAGTTCATATCTTAGATGTTATTGTTGTTTTTCTTTTACATTTTATTGTTGGATGTAACTGGGACTCTGTGTACATAATAAAGAATCTCTGATGTTTTGACTGAGTGGCAGAGTGTGTCAGCCTGAAGATTCCATTTCTCTTTTTTATTTTCCATTTAAATCAAACTCACTGGTTGTTTAATTGAAGGCACAAATAAAGCTGAAACTTGAAATAACAACTAAACAGTCTTAACACAGCTGAGATTTTGAGGGGATAACTAACTGAAAGCCCCCATGATTAAATCCTCCAGCCACAGGTTTTTGGAGCTGATGTGACCTTTGTCTTCATGATGCACAGTTTTGTGCAGTGAGCAAAAGTCCTCAGAGGACAACTTTAACCATAGCAGGACTACGATATGTAAGTATTTTTCTTTTATTAAACTGCGTAAAATGTATGGTAATCTTTGAATGGGTTAAAATGTGAGAAAAAATTAAACCTAAGCTCTGAAAGCACGAGGCCTTAGACTTAGAATGTGTGTTCAACAAATTGAAAACAAACTAAACACAGTTTAAGGGCGTGTCCTTGTCCTAAAACGGCCGCTTGTAAACTCCAACGCCTTTCCGTGCGCTTTTATCTTCATCCTGGCGCGTTCCTGCTGCTGGGAACACGGAGGGCGGTTCTGGAAAAGTTCTGGGATTCCTTGTTTACATCCTCCCAGAGTAAAGCCGGGGGGGAGGTGGGTGGGGCGATCACTAGCCCCGCCCCACATTTTTTCGGCCTGACGTCATTGTCGCTTGTGTTTTTTATGAATGAAAGAATCCAACCTCAGAGGGCAACAGTAATTCCGGGAAAAGGCGGACTGACATTTTGTCGCCGGAGACGCGTCGAACCAACAGGTAAATTCTGTCTTGTTCTTTGTTTTCCTTTTTTAAACATACATTGAGTCGTTACGCTGTAATTCAGCGGTAATAGCCGAACACTGGAGGAACGAGGCGCCCGGGCAGCCGAGAGAACAGGCAGCTGTTTACTTTAATCCCCCGATAGCTCGTTCATGCTAGCTGCTAACAGTTAACATTTACTAACATATGTAGACGTGTATGGCCATCTTTTTATCTTTACCCGCGTGTTCTTTGACATTTAAATAGCCCACTTACTTATATAGCGTACCTATATGTTTTAGGGCGTTTTGGGGGCTTATTTAAAATGTAAATAGCCGTCGGAAGCACAGTTGTGACGGCTGTTTACTACAGCGGCAGCGTTTTCTGTCCTTAGCTCGTCTCCGATTAATATGTCGCCTTTTAAAAAGAGACGAAATGTGTATTTTAATAAAACCACGCGTGTTCGTGACCCAAGTGTTAATTATACAATCAGTAGATATTATATTTTTAAAGAATAGGCGCGTTTATCAGGACTGTCGTGGTGCGTTCACTTGTTGCTCGCCCCCGCCGGTGTTGCTTAACTTTGCTTTAATCCAACAAAGTGGTGGCTTTTAGGGAAGCAAAGGCTCGAATGTGGTGAGTTGTTTGGAAGGAAACCGTGCTGTTTTTGTGTTGTTCTGTGGGTCTGTTGTCGCTGTCAGTGTTGGCGGAGCTAAGCAGAGGTTTTATTGCTGAATCACCATGACTTTACGAAACAGCGGGTTTACAGCCCGTCTGCCGGGCAGGGTGGACGAACTACTGACTTCTTCCTACGCCTTTCTGGAAACCCATCTTATCTACAACAGCTTGACGGGTCTATGAAGAAAGGTTTTGTTTAGCTTAGGTTTGCTCACCGCTGAAGCATGAGGATTCCGACCGGGCCTGGCAGGCTCAGACCCGGGGGAGGAGGAGGCCGGAGGAGTCTGAGGTTTCCTGGTCAGGGGCCGGTCCCTGAAGTCAACAGGGACATTACAGAGGATTACAAGTTACTTAAAAAATGTAACAAAACATAACTCAAAAGAGCTGCAGAAGAACCTCAGATGTCTGCAGATGAGGATTATTAAAAACGCAATGACAGCTGCTTCAAAGTGAGGGTAGTTTTTATAAAAATGAGACTCCAAACTGAAGCAGACGTGAACTGAGACAACCAAAACCTTAGAGGCATAAAACATTTCATTCAGTCTTCATGTTTTCTGTTGTAATTTTCAAAGACCTTTGTCCAAGTATGCGACTAAAACTGTTATGTCGTGTTATATGCAGGTATAATTTTTATTGTCAATATGTTACTGATAGTTTCTGAGTCACGTGAGAAGTTTTAAGTCAAAACAAAGAGATGCTCGGCTCTCTAATCCTAAAGCAGGTGATAAACTACCCTATTTTAAATATGAATAAGTTATTCTGGTCCAAAAACATTTCAACTAAGTAAACGTTTAGATGAAGTGATGAATGTCAAAACTAGAATTGAAAGTTTGGAAAGACAAGGGAGATAAAATTGAGTTAAAACTACAGTACTCGGTGCAAACTATGACATCAAACATTAAGGTTATTATGCACTAAATAAAATTAAGTCGTTTTAAACGGTTCAGTATTTTTCCATGTATGTTGATACATGATTCTGAAACGTGGGTATGCGCTCAGTGTAAACAAAGCACATTTTTTACAAAACAAAGCACATTTTTTACATACAAAAATTCCAACAAATCTAAGTACAAGTACCTAAAAACTGTCCGGCTTTGTCATTTTAAACAACTCTTCCATAGATGTCACAACTGTTGCCCTGTTTTCAGTCACTTCGGCTGTTTCTGTAGGCAAACAAACACGTGCTGAATGGCAGCTGGTCACAAACTTTGGTCACAAGTTTTTGATTTAAGCACTCAAGAGGAAAAAAATAGCACGTTTCTTACTTTATAACTGTTATTTGATATGTCTTCATGACTTTACGATGAGTTCCTTTAATAACCAAACTGTTTCTCAATCCAAAATGGTTCCTGCAAGAAGTCATCTTGTCTCAAATGAACAGAACAAAATCCTCAGAGTAGCTCTGGGTTTTATTTTTATGTCAGAATAAGAGTCAGGATCACTTCCTGGTGACGTTTTTCTTCTCCGCACATCAGAACCAAAGCATGAGTCAGTGAAAAGCCTGTTAACTTTCTGAGGAGAAACTCCAGAGTTGCAGTACTTCAGAAAGTTAACAGGCTTTTCTCAAAGCAACATGGGAAAACACCCATGTTTATGATGCCAGTGAAATTTGCTGACCCTGATTAACCGTGTGTCTTTTCATCAACATGCCGCTTGTTGCCACTTTTTGTGGTCCCACCATCTCTTATGATGATCATTGAAGCTGAAACTGCCTTTTTGTGCTGAATCACTTGAACGCAGCACTGAAGGCGCCAAGACGTGACTCGGGGGAGAAGAGATATTGTTTTAGTTTAGTTAGCCCACTCAGAGGTTAGACTTTGATCCCACGCTACAATATCTGTGAGCTGACCTTAAACGGTGTGTGGGAGGTCCTGATGCTATCTGTCAGAACAATAAGGGGAAAACATTACAAACTGGGTTGAGTGGTTCTTTACTCGTTAAAACCAATTTTTAAATTAGACATTCAAAGCTGTTTAAGAGTCTGGATATTCCCTAAAAGCCACCGGGCGTGTTGGACCTTGTAAAGGAGCGCTTTAGAACCGTTGGTGTTGAAAGGAGGAAGTGTTGGGGGTGAATTGGTTAGGACACCTGCTTTGAGCAACCAGAGGCCAGACACATGATAACTTCCCCCTTACGATTCCAGCAAACAGAAAGATGTTTTCTAACACTCCTTTTGCTCTCGTATCAAGGCACAGAGTTAATGAGGAGAGATGTGTGGGCTCTTCTCTCGACTGCGCATGACTTGTTGTCTTGTGAGCAAATGGTAAGTGTCATGTGCAAAAACATAACTCATTTCTGTTTTTCTTTCTTTCTTTCTTTACAGAGTGTTTATTTTTTGTTTTAACTGGTGCTTTCTGTAAAAACAACACAAGTCAACTGGATCATGACGACAGAAAGAAACAGCAAAGCCCTGAAGGTAAAACTCATTCTGCAACTTTGGACTACTACAAACAGAAGCTTTAATAAAAACTGATGTGTATCTATAACATTTATTTCAAGTTGCAACAAATACCACCCCTTTGGTATTTTTTATTTTGTTGCTTTACACCCTGGGATTAAATTATAAGTAATAACTTACATAAAGTGCTTCAGATTGTTTAAATTAAAATGAAGAAAAAAGCTTATTAAAAAAAAAAAAAAAAAACCTTTCTTAAGATGTAAAACTAAAAAGTAGTGCGTGCAGAAATGGAGTTACGTCAGAATGGCTGACCACAGCACAAATTATGCTGGCACAGCTAAAATTGTGCCACCATCTTGGAAGGTGCTACGGGGTGTCCTTAGTTATTTCTGACATGGCAGCTGACCATAAATTCCATCCATCCATTATCTTTTAGCTACTTCTTCCTTTTTGGGTAGTGGGGGTCACCAGTGCCCATATCCAGCTGTCACTGTGCGAGAGGTGGGGGACACCCTGGACAGGTCTCCAGTCCATCACAGAGACACATAGAGACAAAACCATTCACTCTCACTCACACCTAGAGACAATTTAGAGTTACCAATCAGTCTAACATGAAGTTTTTGGTCTGTGGGATGAAACTGGAGTATGCAGAGGAAACTTTTGCAGCACGGAGAGAACGTCCCGGCCAGGATTTGAACTGGGGCGACTTGCTCACTGAGAGGTGGCAGCTCTACCAACAGCACCACCGTGCTGCCAGACCATAATTCTTTTAGGAAAATAAAAACAAATTCGTCCAAATGGCCAAATCTTTACCATTAATTGTTCTATCAGAACCTGTACTTTAAAGAACATCTACCATCTAACTGAAAACACACTGCTGTCAGGATATATTGTCTTAAATAGTACACTTTACTATACAAAACAAGTATTGTATCAGTCTAAGTTGAATTAACTACAGAAACAGGAGCAATCCTGAAAAAGTTCAGTCTTGTACCAGTCTAGCTAAAATCGTCACAGCACAGTAGTAGAAGCGCACCACTGGACAGCCTTTTGGCCCTCCTAACCTTTGCTCAGACTTATCGGGACGCTCATTACAGAATATTAATCTCCAATTTTCACAATATGCATGACATATGTTTATTTAAGCCAAGTCAAATTTATTTATAAAGCACATTTAAAACTGCAGCTGTTACCAAAGTGCTTCACAGTAAGATCAAGGCAGTAATTAAAAATACTAAGATGTAATTTAAAGCATCAAAAATAAAATCATGAAAACACATAAACAATGAGAAACAATGAAAAAGTAAATCAAGTCACACTGTGTTAAACATCAGTGAAAACAGGTGAGATTTTAGGAGAGATTTAAAAACAGGGAGTGAAGCGGTCTGTCTAATGTTGAGGATTGTTCCAAAGTTTAGGGCCAAGGACTGAAGAAGCCCGATCTCTGAGCTTCAACCTGGTTTTGGGTACAACCAAAAGCAGCTGGTCAGATGATCTCAGAGCCCGAGAAGGAACAGATGGTTGAAGTAGGTCAGAGAGGTATGAGGGTGCAAGGCCATTTAGACACTTAAAGGTCAACAGGAGAATCTTAAAATCAATTCTGATACATACAGAGAGCCAGTGAAGGGAGGACAAAACTGGTGAATTATGCTCAAACCTACGAGTTCCTGATAAGAGCTGAGCTGCAGCATTTTGGACGAGCTGGAGACATGAAAGAGTGACCTGACTGACCCCAACATAAAGAGCATTATAGTAGTCTAGTCGGGTAGTAATGAAGGCGTGAACTATTTTTTCAAGGTCAGATCTGGTTGACACAGACTTGAGTTTAGCTATCTGCCTTAACTGAAAGAAACATTCTTGTAGAACAGAGTTAATATGTTTATTAAACTTAAAGTCAGAGTCTAAAACCATCCTGAGATTCATAACAGACTGCTTAAGATATGGCTCGAGACAGTCAGGAACAGAGACAACAGTAGAGCTAGATCTAGACACAACTTCAGTTTTCTGATCGTTGAAACTTAAAAAGTTTGAAGCCATCCATGTCTTAATGTCAAGACATTTTAACAGAGGGTGAATTGTGCATGAGCTATTTGGTTTTAAGGGCAGATAAATCTGACAATCATCAGCATAGCAATGAAACAAAAGACCATGTTTCCTCAGGATAGACCCCAAGGGGAGTAAATATAATGAAAACAGAAGGGTTCCAAGAATTGAGCCTTGCAGGACACCACAGGAAAAAGGAACTGAAGCAGATAAACTATTACCAACATTAACACAAAAACTCTACTCCACATACGTAAAACAAGACTATTTCTATGCACCTTTAGACTGATGATACAGCAGGAAGCACAAGGTGTTAACACCAGGTATGTGGTTTGAGCTTGTAAACAGTACAGAGTGATGGGAGGAGCAGCCAGCAAGATGGCAGCCACACATCTAGCCTAGAGTCATCTGTGGTCATTGCAGTTTGTCTCTATTTATTTGGTCCCAATTATTATCCCCACTATCAGCACTCCACTAGTTTAAGGAGAAACGGTAAATGTCAACTTTTTCCCCATTTAACAACATTTATCTGGAGTCTTCTGAGTAGATTTTTTTATTTATAATTAAAAAAAAATCTGTTTAAATTCCAAGTTGTAAAGCAATAAAGTAGTCGGATTACCAAAGGGGGATATTTTGAAGCCCACTGTATATTCTTGCACATTCATTGGTTAATTTCTTGTAGTTCACTCCTCTCCACCTCTTCTGCAGGTGAAGCAGGAATGTGGCGAGAACGTGCCCATCCTGTCAGACAGCGAGCTCATGTCCCTGTCCGTGCGGGAGCTGAACCTCCACCTGCGCGGCCTCTCCCGGGAGGACATCCAGAAGCTGAAGCAGCGCCGCCGCACCTTAAAGAATCGCGGCTACGCGGCCAGCTGTCGGGTCAAGCGCGTCTCCCAGCGAGAGGCTCTGGAGCAGCAGAAGATGGAGCTGCAGAGGGAGGTGGAGCGGCTCGGTGCTGAGAACGCCGGCATGAGGAAAGAGCTGGAGGGTCTCGGGGCACGCCTGGCTGCCCTGCAGAGGTTCGCCCGGGGTCTGGAAGCAGGAGGGGGCAGTCTGCTGGCTACGGCTCCACGCCTCAACACGGCCTCGGTCATCACCATCGTGAAGAGTCCGTCCCAAACTCAAACGCAGAGAGAACAGGACCCATCTTAAAGAGCTGCTAGAACCAGACTGGGGGCGGGGTGTATAGGTGGTCTGTAAAGCAAATACAACACATGTAGACATGGATATGCTACACACACATACACACACGCAGCACAAAGGCAGAACAGGAAGACTAAATAAGTAGGAAAATACTAAACTCGTCATCTGCATTGTGCCTTTTCCACATTACGATATGCAGCAGCAACTCGCTTCACTGCAGCAAGGTGTATAAGGTTGCCTAGCAACAACAGCTTAGTTTAGTTTCTTTGTAAAAGGACTAGGAACACCTGAGAAGTCATCCAAGACAGGTGTGACCTGTGCAGTTAAATCTGACTCGGAAAGAGCTTATTTTTTATTTTTAGCACTCGCAGTTGTGAAAGGTTTAATGTGAGCCAGGCGTCGAGCTCCTTCACCGAGCCACCTGAGGGGCAGACGGCAACGAGGTGGACTCTGACTGAAGCCAAGTTACTGCACATCTTTACCGCTCGGCAAATCCATCTGTGACGCTGGTGCATCACTGGTGCGCTGCCGAAAGGCCCCAAGGCAACGTCCTGCTAACAGCAGGGGGGCATCAGCGCCTGATCTTCCTCATTTCTGATATTAGTACAGCCTCTGTGTCTCCTTACATGCAGGTGGAGTAATAACAGTGTGAACGTTTATGAAGCATTCACACTATTGTCATCCATTTTTCTTCCGTATTGGTTTCGGTGCAATTCTCGTCCCGCAGTTTTCAAACTATTTCAACAAATCATAAATCAAAACCTTCAGCTCTTTCAGGACAATCCTGCTATGACTTTTGGTATTGGTGCAACTTTAGCTTTTTCAAATATTTAGTCTTTTCTACCATGTTTTTCTCATAGAAAATGAATTGAGCTCATTTGACATCCTTCAAATCTTCAGATCTATTTTACTGCTCCTTTCACATTTTGCCCTGCTTCAGCTTCTTTCAGCTTCCTTCGGCAAATTTTAACTTTTTTTCAGCTACTTCCAGCTGGGTTTTTTTTTCAGCTGTTTTATGCTCCTTTCAGGATCTTTCTGCTAACCACAACATTTTTGTGCTTCTTCTAATTTCTTTCTGCTAATTTCAGCATGTTATTCTCCTTTCAGCTTATTTCTACTAGTTTCAGTTATTTCAGCTATTATTTAGCTGTTTTTATTCTAATTTTAGCTTTTTCAGCTAATTCCTAATTTTTTGCACTCATTTCAACTTTTTTCAGCCTAATTCAGCTACAATGTGCTCTCTCCGATTCCTTCTGGTAATTTAAGCTTCTTTCTGCTTTTTTAGCTGCTTTTCATCTGTTTTTTGCTTATTTCAGCTTTTTTCACATTTCCATTTTTGTGCTCATTTCTGCTTCTTTCAGCCTAATTAACTTCTTTCTGCCATTTTCAGCTTGTTATGCTAGTTTAAGCTATTTCTACTATTTCAGCTACTATTGAGCTGTTTTAATGCTAATTTTAGCTTTTTCAACTAATTCCTCATTTTTAGCTCATTTCAGCTTTTCCCCCTTCCTTCTGGTAATTTAAGCTTCTTTCTTTTCAGCTACATTTCAGCCATTTTTTGTTGCTAATTTCCAAATTTTTGTGCTCATTTCTGCTTCTTTCAGCAAACGTGTTCTTTCTGCTTCTGCTAATTTAGGCTTGTTCTTCCACTTCAGCTACATTTCAGCATGTTTTTTTTAACTAATTTCAGCTGTTTCTCATCCATTTTGGCAGGAAATACATTTTCTGTAGATTCTATTGTTGTCTTCATCACTGATTACTCTGAGGGTAAAAACAGACCCACCTGCTCTTGTTTGAAGTTCAGAGTGATTCAGAGCTCACCTCGCTTACATCCACAGAGTCGCATTACTTCCGTCAGCGCAGTGCCTTAAGCTACAGGAACCTCAAAGGGAAAAGACTAAACCAGAATCGAATCGCTCCGTCTTTCACGTCCACACACAACTTTCATTGTCAAGTTGTTCACGTTTCAAGAGCTCTGACCTCACGCCGCTCGTTGTGCAGTAACCTTGGTCCAGTCTGCCGCGGCTCCTGCTCCTACGTATTCATCAGACTTCCTTCGAAGCAGACCTTTATCTGGTACCCTGCAAAAAAAGAAATCCTCTGAATACATTCCTGTTTCGTGTTATTTGTAATGTCCGTATGTGCTGCAGAGAGACGAAAATGTTGAGTGACATTTATAAGAGACATATAAATATTCTATATTTTATTTGTATTTAAAGGTAGATATTATGAAAAGACATGCTAACGAGTGCTGTGATGTTGGACACGTTTTCCAGAAGTACTTACGACTAGTCGGGGGATATCCTCACGTCTAATTATTGTGTTGTGTTGCGACAAAGATTACAAAATGCTAATTATTAGCTGCGTAGAAATACTCAGTCAGTGGCTGTATCGATGTGTGATTATTTGTGTGTTTTTGAGTACTTTTTGCCATATTTGTACTAGCTTGTCAGAACGGATTCTTGGGAGGGACACTTATTTTTCTATGACGAGTTGTTTAAAACAAAACTATTGAGTTAGCAGAAAGGAAAACAGGAAGTGAACGGATGGGACGAGATGGAGGGACTGATGAAGTGAAAAGGAAGTAGACGAGGCAGGAGGGGGAGAAAGTGCAGGCAGGTGGTGTTTGATACGCTCGAAGACCTTTTGAGATGTTGGTTCACGTTCAGGCCACAGACTAGGGCTAGCAATATGTTTGAGTTTAGACCAGACGTGGGCAACGTATGGCACCGGGGCCAAACGTGGCCCTTGGACAAGCTCCATCCGGCCCCCAATATTCCTAACTGAAAAAATAAATTTTAAATATATTGCTAAAAAACAACAACAAAATTTTAAGGAAATTTGAATTAAATTCCTTGGAACAAGTACATAAAAACTTTTGGATTAAGGTAGCCTAAAAAGTTAATTTTTTTAAGTTGCGTTGCCAGAACCTTAACAGCTAAAATTATACACAACTTTTTTTTTTTTTTTTTTAATATTAAGGCTAACAATATGTTGTCACCGGAGCCAGTTTACAGAAAGTATGTCTTATATTCCTGAAAATAGTTTTGGAGAGATGTTTTTATTACGTATGCTAACTATGCTACAACAAGAAACGATTGAAATACGTTGTCTCTATGAGGCCTTTCGACTGCTTGAAATATTTGGCTCTCTGAGGAAAAATGTTGCCCACCCCTGGTTTAGACTAACGCAATAACTGTTGCCGAGAAGAAGAGGCCGATATGGAGCTACATATGAACTTAGTGGCAAAAGCATTTATTCTCGATATTTTATCGTCTCACGTCTGTCCAATCGTGCTGGATGTTTTGTAATACCTGCAAAACGAATATGGTCTTTGTATTTATTACCTGTATTTTTTCTATTGTGGAAAATTTAAGTACATTGTCTATTTTATATAATAATAATTAAAATAAATGTTGTACATATTGTACATAAAATGGTGTTTGTGTTGAGTGGATTGGAACTTCAGGGGTGTTGTGACGATAACTATCCCTGAACGTGTGTGAACTTTACACTCAGGCCAGTTAAAAACCAGCGAGGTGAAACTACTGAACTGCAGTAACCCTCGTTTATCGCGGAGGTTTCGTACCCTGAAGCCCCGTGATAAGTGAAAAACAGCGAAGTAGGAATAGTAGTACAAATAATAAGCAGGAGTTTATTTTAAAATGTTTATATATAAAGGTGTTTTAAACCCTTCCCACACTTACAATGTTTCTAAACTCTAAAAGTGCACAGAATGTCATGATTTCAGCGCTCTTGGCCACGCCCACTTCTCCGCTCTGCATGGTGATCAGCAGCAGGAGGAAGCTTGTCCTGCAGCTGTGGGCTGCACACAAGTGCAGCAGGTGCTAAATCATTTTAAATGATTTATTTCAAAAATGATATGCTGATCGTGTGGCTCATCCATCATTTAGCCAATTGTGTCCAATCCTATTTTGAAAAACCGCGATAGAGCGAGTCCACGAAGAACAAACCAGGAAGTAGTGAGGGACTACTGTATTTTAAATTCATTCATAAAACATGTTTTATCTCCAACAGTTGTTACAAATAAATTAATGTTAGTAATCATTTTATCCAAAATAACTTGTGAAAATTTTCTCGGGACCCCAAATTTGATGTGACTCATAATGGGACCCCATCCCCAACTTTATTTATTTTATTCGTTGATCCATTTGACACTGAAACATGGTGAGCAACTCAAAACATGAAGCCAAAAGCTGAATGAAGCTGCAGCACAGAAAGGGTTCATGGCTGTCAAACTGAAACGTATTTGAATCTTGCTAAATTAAAACAACACCTGCAACTGTTGCTAAAAATAACCTGGCTTGTAAAACGTCTAAAAATAGGCTGCAGCTCCAAACACGTCCGCCCTCCTTAAAGCGAAAATTGGGTCAGGCTTAAACAGAGGGACGCTGGAGAATTCATTCATTTCCTGATGTAAATGCAAAAAAAAAAACGACAAAACGTGCTCAAAACACATGCGTGGGCAAGGCCCTCTGCTGTTTAACTCGAGCTGTGACTAAGGAGAGAAATGGCCTTTTCAGTGTGACGCACTCATGACTCAGGAACTCCGTCTGTGCGTCTGCAAAAATAAAAACTCATCTGTGGTTAGATTACAGCCAAACCTACCAAAAATGGGTTTTCTGCTGGAACAGAAGAAAGAGTTGAAACATTTTCCCCCATGCAGCTGATATTTAGGGTTTTCTTTATCAATCATGTCCAACAAACAGTTCAACTTAAATAAACTAGAAAGTTCCTGGGGAAACTTTGCTGGGGAGTGCCAGGTGGCGGCCTTTTTAAAATTTTGATTTGACAGTATTATGTGTCGGAGTTCACTCAGCTACCACCAAACCAAATTTCAGCAAAATATCAGTGAGTTAAAGTTTTGTTTTTTTAAAGCAATGGTGGCCATCTTGGATTTTTGATTTTCAATTCAACCTTTATTTAGACGGATAAATCACATTGAGACTCATTTACAAGTTAGATCTGTTTAGACAGACAAAAAGTAGTGAAACTGGACATATGTAGGAACTGGAGGCAAAAAAAAAATCCTATCAAACTCTTTCTTCTGGGTTGAGAAGACTCTAATATTGAAAAAACATCTCGCACATACAAGCACATGGTGACGTAGACATTCCGCGGGGGGGGGGACGAGAGCGGGGAACAATGTTGAAGGACGCTCTCGAGGGCACTGTAAGAGTTCTGATAAGGATGTAATAATCAACCAGTTCCCTCTGGTGAGCTCTGTAAACATTCTCAAGGGATGTCGGGGAATGGCCAAGGACAACGCCTATGGGAATCCAAGAGTCCTAAAATGATGACGCAATGTTTAATCAGCTGGTTTCCCCTGGTTGATCAGTTGGAATTTGTCAATTGGGGTGGGGAGAGCGTCAGATTACATGTCCTCCAGGCAAATTCAGATAAGGTGGCCTGCAAGGCAAGTCAGGGAGCCAAATTCAGATAAATACGATTGTTTTGGGGACAGGCAGAACTTAATGACATCTACTTTGAGTCTGTGTTGGGCCAAACAGTTCAGAAACGTCCAAATTACATGGCCACACCAATGGACCGTGTCTGAGAATAATCCCCGAGATCTGATCCGTTCTGCCAAAAGCATTTCAGTCTGGGTGCTCGAGGCACGAACCAAGCCATCAGAAAGGCAAGCAGCGTGATCGGGTCCAAATTTGCTGCCGACGACTTCTTTGATTGTTGCTGGACCAGGAACCAGACGAATCCAAAAAGCAGGAACCAGTTATCATGAATCCAATTATAAATGTGTCCTTAAAATCCACAAATAGCAGCAGAGATAGACACATCATCAAGTCTTCCAAGTCGATAAGATATCCAGCTGCGTGTGTGCCAACAGGGCAAATCGGCTCACCTAAAACCCGTTTTCTCTTTGAAGAAATGTTATCCACTGTGTTGAGGGACCAACTGATCAAATCACGTCCGTAATTATGTTTCGGAAAATATGCAAGAGAGTCTCAGAAGCAGTTTCACAGATAAGACGAGCAGCAAAGCAAAGAGGGAGAGGAGGGGAAATGCATTCGACCTTGGCAAGAGCAAGTGGTGAAATGATTTGGATTCAGTATGTGATGGGGAACATTCTCATCTACAACCACACCAAATTTCAGCTCTATGTGTGTAAAAATAGCTGAGTTAAAGTAATTTAAATTTAGTGGCCATCTTGAATTTTTTTAATTCATTATTTATTGGACACTGGTCTCAGCTATACTACCACACCAAGTTTCTGCTTAATATCTACAAAAATGGCTGATTTAAATTATTTTCCCTTTTTTAGTTAAGGTGGCCATCTTGGATATACGATTTGCAACAAGTCTATGAAAATTACTAATAAAAATGGTGTCTTTGTTTGCAAATTACATCACCATGGTAACTCAAAACGCCAATAAAAGTAACAGCACACATCACTGGGCCGCGCTGGTCGTTTTAATATACATTTGTTGGGGTACACGCTGCAATTCTGGCCACATTAAAGTTGACGGAAGAGCAAGATATAAAGTTAGGAAACCCTTGTCAGGTGGATAATAATATGTGCTGGCTTACTAGGCAATCCCCAATAAATAGGTTATAAATACGGAGCAGAAAAGCTTTTTCAATGGACGTGTCTGAGACGTTGTTCAATAAGTGCTGCCCATCAGGTTTATAAGGCTGCTAAATGATTCAAAGCTGAAGTCAAAATGAAATCAGAGCAGCTGTGCAACTGCTCTTATTTTGGTACCGAATGGCTGAGCTGAAGCTGCCACAAGGCCGATGTGTAAGACGCGAAGAATCTGTTTTTAAGATGACAAAGGATGAATTTAGGAGGATAATGTTTATGTTCTGTTATAAGGTACTGCGCTGACCACGCATTATTCCATTTAATCTGCAACATGTGTTAAATTAAAGGCCCGTGGGCCAAATAAGGTCATTGACGTTTTATTCAGCCCACAAGATAATGTTTTAAGTGTATTAGGAGCGGTCTGTGTCACTTCTTAATTTGCTTTAAAAATCTGAGCACACTTAGTGCAGACGTTTCATGGCAGTTAAATAACTTTTAGGTCCTAAAAGTTAAGTTTGAACCTTTCAGTAATGCAGGTGATGAGTGGTTTTTAATCTTGATCATATGATTCTTTATTCAATAAGTTGTGTTTATTTTAAATTCTACACAATAAGCTTTCAGAAAAGATAAATTATATTTCTATATAATTTTGACATTACATCTGAATATCAAGGTTTATATAATTTATTTTCAATAAATAGTAGCTGATTGGCCCTGGACTAGATCAAAGTTTTAATGTTGGCCCTCGAGCTTCATTTTAGCCTGCACTGGTGATCAAACTCAACCTGAAACCCTCTGAAACTAGAATAATCCTGAACAGTTTCTGCTGCCGCCTCCCTTTAACTGGAGCGGGTAAAATGTAAAATCTATAAGCTGCTCTGCCTCTATCCGTTTCCACTGTAATCAATAACAGTATTGATCCATGCGAGTGACGTCTTGTTTTGACAGTTAAACCCCACCATGATGGCATCACCAACATTTACAACACTGAAAATAGTTTTAAAGGAACATCCCTGACATTTTGGAATGTTTTCTTTGGTGAAAACCTAAACACTATCTTACCTGTTGCAGATAGATAGCTCCAGCAGTCCAATAGGAGCAACAAGCTAATGACAATCCAAATGCAGCCAAAACCAAAGTGGAAGAGAATCTCACGACATTTTAAAAAAAAATACCTGCGAAATGAAAAATTCACCTCAATGTCAACGTTTGAATAATAGTTTGTTTGAACTGCTATGAAATTTTATGATCGGAGTTATAGACCCACTTCCAAAACCACCTGTTTAGCATTATATGGTTATTTCCATATTCAAAACAATGGAAAATAGTAAAAACAAACAAACATGTCTGTTGGGCTGCCTTCAGGACCCAGGCCTCTCTTGCAAAAAAGATCTGTGATGTCGATGGGATTTGCCTGGTGAAATAAAGATAAATAATAATAAACTAGAGAATTTGCATTTCCTGCCAAAATGCAGAGTGAATGCTTATTGCTGAGGAACTTGCTGAAAAACAGATGAAAAAAGCTAAACAAAAACATGCTGAATTGTAGCTGAAATGAAAGAAGCCTAAATTAGCAGAAGAAAGAACAAACACATATTTGGCGAATTAGGTATAAATTAGAAAAAAAAAAGCATCAAATTAGGAAATTAGCTAAAAAGTTGAAATTAGCAACAACAACAAAATAGCTGAAAAGGCAGAAAGAAGCTTAAACTACCAGAAGGAAGTGGCAAAAGCTGAAATAAGCAACAAGAAAAAAAAAAAAAAACGGAATTAGCACAAAAGCTAAAATTAGCATAAAACAGCTAAATAGTAGCTGAAATAGCAGAAAAAAATCTGAAAGTAGCATAACGAGCTCAATAATACATTGAGGATCAAAGTAGCAAAAATTACCATGAAAAACTTGAATTTATCTGAAAACAGATTAAATTAGCTACAAAAAAAAAAAAAAGCTAAAATGGCAGCTGAAATGGTAGAACAAGCTTAAATTAGCAGAAGAAAGCTGAAAGGACACATTTTCCCAATTAGGCTGAAAGAAGCAGAAATGAGCACAAAAAAAGAGAAATTATCTGGAAAAAGCTGACATTAGCAAAACAACAGCTGAAAAGCTGCTAAATTTTCAGAAAGAAGCTTAGATTAACAGAAGGAAGTGGAGAGAGCACATTTTTAATGAATTAGGCTAAAAAAACGTTGCAATGAGCGCAAAAAATGTGGAATTAGCGGAAAAAGCTAAAATTAGCATAAAGCAGCTAAATAGTAGCTGAAAAAGCAGAAAAAAATGAAACTTGCAGAAATAAGCTGAAATTGGCAGAAAGAAACTAGAAGAAGCACAAAAATGCATTTATAAGAAATAATCTGAAAGGAGCACAAAACAGCTGAAAAATAGCTGAAATTAGCTGAAAAAACATTTAAAATTGCACAAGGAAGCTGAAGCAGAACAAAATGTGAAAAGAGCAGTATAAGGTTGTAAACAGATCTAAACATTTGAAGGATGGAAAATAAGCTCAATTCATTTTCTATGAGAAAAAAAAAATGGTAGAAAAGGCTAAATATTTCCAAAAGCTAAAGTTGCACCAATACCAAAAGTCAAGGCAGGATTGTCCTGAAAGAGCTGAAGGTTTGGATTTATGATTTGTTGAAATAACACAAAAATTGTGAAATGAGAATCACGTTGAAAAACGTACGAAAGAACAATAGAACAAAAGTGTGAATGCTTCATTCACACAATAATTCAGCAGATACATTACCGGTAAGACATTTCTACCAAATCTGACCCGAGGCTGTGCCCATTCGTTGGTCTATTTCTCACCCCACCCTGCCATCACTCATGAGCAAGAATCCCAGACACTTAAACTCAAACAGAGGTTGTCAATGAGCCATCATAAAATATTAATTGTTCACAACTTCAACTTTTCATCAAACCTCACATTGAAATGGTCAGAATATCCCTTTAAAGTACATTCATCTGCTTCACTGAATCTGTAAGATCAGAAAGTTTACAACAATAAAAAGGTCTGAAACGTTTAAAAATCTTTGATAATACATTTTAATTCTGTTCATGGAATAAACGTTAAAACTCTGACCTTAAATTTTAGAACATGCCTTGTTTTTATCTTTAAACACTAAACAGGACCGGAACAACACAAAACCAATACGTCTGGATGATCTCCCACAGAGACGACTCTTCTGGATTATAAAAATAAGCTCCAAACAAAGACAGAAAACCTTCGTCCCAGATGTCACATTTATATTCTTGGATCGTGACTCCAACTTTCCCAGTTTACACAACCACATGGGTGCTGCGCGGTCCCACCAAATAAGAAGCTGGGGTCACGTGGGGACAGACGTGCTGATGCAGCAGACCACAGGGTTTGGGACCAGTCTCACTCTGAGGGGAACTGGTTGGGTGAAGTACCACTCTGTGGTAAACGCAGTCTGAAGAAGCTTCGGCTGCTGTACCAGCGTGTCAGAACTCATCGTCTGAACTGAGCAGGAGAGTTTTCTCGGTGTCTCCGTGGGCACCGACGGTACCGTGGCTGCGGGAGACGGGAGGAGGCGCCCCTTGCTCCAGCGTGGCTTGCTGGGTGTACTGCTGGTAGGCCGGGGAGAAGTTGTGGATGGCGTCCTGGACCATGTCCCCAGGGCTCATGGTCTCCTTTAGGCTGCTGGAAATGCTCTTCATCGGCGCGCAGCGACCTGAGGAGGAAGAGGGACGAGAGGAGGTTAGTCATCAAGAGACGACTGGAAAAACTGAGACAGGGATGGGATCAGGAAACACTCACAGAAAACGTAAAGGTTTAAAATTTCATTTCAATTCAGTTTATTTATAAAGCGCCAAGTCACAACAGAAATCATCTTGATGTTTTCTTGTAAAAAAAAAAAAAAGGAGGGTAAATAGAGGAAGAATGGATTTGTCGTGTTTTACGGAGGAAAAAGGGAAGAATGTTGGTGGAGAAAAGAATCAGTAAAAAAGGAGTGATCGAGTACAAAAATGAGGTGAAAGAGGTGAAACAAAGAAAGATAAATGGAGTCCCAACCACTGTTGAAACCAGAAGTTTACATACACCATTTAAAAAGACGTTTTTCACACTGATGTGAAATCAGAATAAACTTTTCCAGTTTTATATAAATTAGGATTAAAAACATTGTTTCTATTTACAAAATGCCAGAATAACGAGAGAGAGAATTTTTTACAGCAATTTTTATTACTTTCTTCAAAGTCAGAAGTTTAAATACACTTCATTAGTATTTGGTGGGCAACTGGTAGAGCTGCTGCCTCTCAGCGAGCAGGTCCCTGGTTCAAATCCCGGTCCGGGGGCCTTTCTGGGTGGAGTTTGCATGTTCTCTCCGTGCATGCGTGGGTTTTCTCCGGGTACTCCGGTTTCCTCCCACAGACCAAAAACATGCATGTTAGGCTGATTGGTAACTCTAAATTGTCCCTAGGTGTGAGTGAGAGAGTGAATGGTTGTTTGTCTCTATGTGTCTCTGTGATGGACTTGCGACCCGTCCTGGGTGTACCCCGCCCCTCGCACAGTGATTGCTGGACATGGGCACTGGCGACCCCCGTGACCCAAAATGGAATAAACGGGTAAAGAAAATGGATGGATGGATGGATGGATGGTATTTGGTACGATTGTTCTTGAACTGCATGACTTGGATCAAACGTTGTGGATCTCCTTCCTCGAGCTTCTCACAATAGTTGGCAGGAATTTTGTCCCGTTCCTCCTGACAGAACTGGTGGAACTGGGCCATGTTTGGAGGTCTTTGTGATGGCCACTCCAAAACATTGACTTTGTTTTCCTTGAGCCACTCTGGAACCAGTTTGCCAGTATGCTTCAGGTCATGGTCCATTTGAAGACCCAAGCTTTAACTTCCTGCTGATGTCTTGAGATGTTGCTTCAGTATTTCCACATATTGTTCTCTCCTCATGATGTCATCTATTCTGTGAAGTGCACCAGTCCCTCCTGAATCAAAACAACCCCACAACATGATGCTGCCACCCCCGTGTTTCACAGTCTGGATGGTGTTCTCAGGGTTTGTCCTCCAAACAGTTCAGTTTTAGTTTCTTCAGACCACAGGACATGTCTCCAGAAGTTCAGGTCTTTGTCCCTGTGTGCATCAACAAACATTGATCTGTTTTTATGTTTCTTTTGAAGTCATGTCTTCTTCCTGCAGAGTGACCTTCAGCTCATGTCCACACAGTTTCACTGTGGATGATGACAGAGTCTTAGCTTCAGCCAGCATCTTCACCAGGTCTTTTCTCTTGTTCTTGGGTTGATCTGCACATTTCAGACCAAAACACGTTCATCTGTGGGACACAGAACCCGTCTCCTTCCTGAGCCGTATGATGGCTGGACATTCCCATCTTGTTTGTACTGGTGTATAACTGTTTGTACAGATGAACGAGGCACCTTCAAACATCTGGACATTGAACCCAAGGATGAACCAGACTTGTGCAAGTCCACAGTTCTTCCTGACATGTCGGATGATTTATTTTGACTTTCCCACCATGTTACACAAAGAAGCAGAGTGTTTCAGGTGTTCCTTTACATCCACAGGTGTGTCTCTAATGGACTCACATGTTATCAATGAACCTATCAGAAGCTTCCAAAGACATGACAAATGTCCCAAATTGTTTAAAGGCATAGTAATCTTAGTGTATTTAAACTTTTGTCTTTGAAGAACGTAGTAAAAATTGCCTTAAAAATTCTCTCTCTCATTATTCTGGTATTTTGAAAATAGAAAAAAATGTTGGTAATCCTAATGGACCTAAAACAGGAAAAGTTTATTCTGATTTCACGTCGGACAGTGAGAAAAAAATGCACGTGTCTTTTTAAATAGTGTATGTAAACTTCTGGTTTCAACTGTAGCTACTTCCCCCATCCAAAGAGCTAAACTTGAGACTTACTGTTGTAAAAATCTAAATGTAGGATCTGAGCCGACACTGTTGGAGACTCAGAACTGTGAGAAACATTTTCAGCTGCAGTCCCACTGAATCCTGTGTGTCAGCCACGTAAATAGTAAATGGACTGTACTTGTTTATCACCTTTCTATCTTACAAAGACACTTAAAGCTCTTTACAGTCTGTGTCCTCATTCATACAGCTCTCTGCTAGATCTCTGCAAAGCTAATCTGACGACTGCTCTAACCACTCAGCCACATCTGCCCTTCATAAATGCCCTTAAATACGAGTAAATGAAACCCAGATTAAAAGAAATAAGAGTACTGCATGTGGCACATGATACGCCCATCGACAGAATATCTATAGCAACGGCCTGGAAGAGCAAAGAGCTTGTACACTTTTTAAATTTGATTTGTGACCTTGACCTTGGAGCTGGGGTGATAAAAAGTGTATGCAACATGATGCATGTCTATGAAGTTTTGTTCAATTATCTACAGCTGATCAGAAGCTATGGGTGAGACAAGAGAAAGTTTATGGACAGATGGACGGAGACTGTAATCAACCCGCCTTGGATGAGAGTTTAAAAAAAATGTTAAAGCTGCAGCCAGTTGCTCATTAGGATTGCCATTATAACATCACAACTGTGTGTGTCACTCCCTGACAATTCAATTCAGTTTATTTATATAACGCCGAGTCACAACAAAGTTGTCTCAGGGCACTGAACTGGAACATTCACCTACATAAAAAAGCCAATTAGTAAAAGTTCTCGATCTACAGAAGCAGTAGAATGTGTTGAATCTTCACTTCGTCACAGTCTCTCATCCTGAGCAAGCACAAAGGAGACAGTGGAGAGGAAAAACCTTTAGCAGAACCAGGTTCAGGACAAGCTGACTGCTGGGTCGACTGGCTGGGTTTGAGAGGACAGGAAGTGGAAACGACATCACAAGTTGACAGCACTTTCAACAAGGCAAGCAGACTGAAACACAAACTAGAAAGTAAGCCTCAATTTTGAAAGAAATCACAGCACTATTGCCAACTGAGCTGCATGCTTTTATGTTTATTTTTACAAAGCAGCAGAATAATGACCAAATTGTAATAAAGAAACTTTAATATTTAAACATCAGCACTTTTAAAGCAATAAACCAATGAAGGAAACTTGAGGTAAAAGGAAAATGTTGTAGTTAAACAGAAGGGGTATAAAAGAGGCAGGAAAAGAAACAAGAGTTGGAGGGTTTGAAACAGAAACTAACGTTTAAAAAAAAGTATATATATATATATATATATATATATATATATATATATATATATATATATACACACATAAAGACAACTGAATCAACCAAACGTAGACCATCAGTGGTTTGACGCACACACACAAAGGCAGGAGTGTAAATGTGACAAGTACTTAATTAAACCTACCAAACTCTCCATATGTAGGAAGAGATCCTTTATGGTGCAGCAGAGAAGGAAAGACATACACGACGACAGATCAAACAGGAAAAAGACGAATGAAGAATATTTTCAATACATGGACAACAAAAAGAGAAGAGACAAAACAAAAGGGGAAATTATAGAAAGAACACTAACTGGAACTACCAGGTAATAGAAAGAAAATGAAGAACCATGACTTGTAGTAAAGTCATGTGTTTCACAAACGGTGCATGATTTACTCTTCTCACCTCGTGCGTCCAAACTTTTGTCCACGTACACTCTGTATGTGAAAGCATGTCGCAGGGCCAGCGCCGCAAAAAACATCTCTATGCAGATGATGAAGTTCTGGTAACCAGCGGCAACCGTGCCCTCGCCGACTGACACTTCCAGTGAGTTAATCTGAGGGATGGCCCCGCACTTCTCCAGGATGGCCAACAACATGCCTGAGCACAAATGAGACAAAGCTCACTGAGAGCACACCCAGCACAGGCTCTGCTGACTCATGAAGGCAGCACCGTTTTCTAATGTGTTATTGATGGTTTGTCAGATGACATGTTTAATTACGTAACATGAGGATTTTATTAAAAACTACACAAATTGCATTTCCTGTGAAAATGCAGTGTGACTGCTTATTGCTGAAGAACTTACTGAAAAACAGCCGAAAATTGCTAAAACATGCTGAAATGTAGCTGAAATGGAAAAACAAGTCTAAGTTAGCAGAAAAAGCACACATTTGCTGAATTAGGTTAAAATAAGCACAAATGAGCATAAAAAAATAGGAAATCGGCTCAAAAAGCTGAAATTAGCAAAAAATAATTGTTAAAACGTAGCTGAAAAGGTAGAAAGATGCTTAAACTACCAGAAGTGGAAAGAGCTGAAATTAGCTAAAAAAAAAAATTGGAATTACCTGAAAAACTTAAATTTAGCACAAAACAGCTAAAAAGTTTATGAAATTGGGGAAAAAAGCTGAACTAGCAATAAAAAGCTGAACGCAGCATAACAAGCTAAAATTAGCAAAAAGAATTTAAGTAGGCTGAAAGTAACAAAAATTACCATGAAAAACATGAAATTTTTTGAAAATACTAGCTGAAATTAGCTAAAAATCCTTTTAAAAAGTGTCTGAAAAGGTAGAACAAGTTTACATTAGCAGAAAGAATGTTTGCTGAAAGAAGCACAAAAAAGTGGAAATTATCTGAAAAAAGTCGAAATTAGAAAAATCAGCTGAAAAGTAGCTAAAAAAGCAGAAAGAAGATGAAATCACAAGAAGGAAGTGGAGATAGCTCATTTGCTGAATTGTGCTGAAAAAAGTTTAAATGAGTGCAAGAATGTGTAATTGGCTGAAAAAGTTAAAATTAGCATAAAACAGATAAATAGTTGCCTAAATAGTAGAAAAAGCAGACACTTTAAGAAATAAGATGAAAGGAGCATAACAAGCTGAAATGAGCAGAGTTAGAAGAAGCACAAAATTGTTGTAGTTTGCAGAAAGAAACTGAAAGAAGCACAAAACAGCTGAAAAAACAGCTGAAATGAACTGAAATGAGCTGAAAAAGGTTTTAATTTGCACAAAGAAGCTGAAGCAGAACAAAATGTGAAAGGAGCAGCAAAATGTTGTAAACAGATCTAAAAATTTGAAGGATGGAAAATGAGCTCAATTCATTTTCTATGAGAAAAAAATAGCAGAAAAAAATAAATATTTCAAAAAGCTAAAGTTGCACCAATACCAAAAGTCATAGCAGGATTGTCGTGAAAGAGCTGAAGGTTTTATGATTTGTTGAAATAGCTTAAAAATTGCGGGATGAGAATCGCACCAAAAAAATGTACGGAAGTAAAATGGATCACAATAGAGTGAACGCTTCATAAACATTCACACAATAATAAGTCGTCAAGATTTTCAAGCAACCGTGAGTAAAACTTTAGACAGAAAATGTGCATGAGCGTGTTTTACAGGAAGTTCAGTGAAAATAATTGGGCTCATCTCAAGCTGGAGACTTTGATTTACTAACGTCAGGGTTCATGACGTGACATCACTCTGCTGCAACTCTGGCCATAGTGCTTGGCTGTACGTTTTGTTAATTAATTAATTCAACACAATTTTTACTAATTTCCCAATTTACAATGTGGAAATGAATATTACTACTGAAACACATTAAAAGCAACAATGTGTGGGAATCCCATTTAATGCTTTTTGACAACATGTGTGAAGTCTTCGTACCCTGCCAGAAAGAGAGGAAGATAACGGACTTGACCACCAGGAACTTGAGCATGGGGCTGTAGGGGCTGAGCAGGTCCCTGGTGGAGAAGTAGAAGAGGAACAGGGCGTACAGAGACAAGCTGACAGAGATGTTGTAGATGATGGTCACGTACAGGTATCCGCTGGCAACGCTACGGAGAGAAATCACCACAGGGTCAGTGAGGCTGGGTTAGTCAGGATTATTTACCACATCATGTTCCACACCTGCAACTCATCAGGACAAGCTAGTTCAGACAATGGAAAAGCTTTAAAAACACCTGCATTAATAAATACAGTCTTAATTCCAGCTTTTGAATCACACAACTGCTTAATGTGAAGTCACTCACTTGAAGTCTCCGTCTTTATATTTGCCGAAGGCCTGCAGGATAACGGTGATAACAGCCATGAGCGGTTTGACCACACAGAACTGCAGCGTGGCCTGCTTACAGAACCGCAGGAACCCGATGGAGTAGGCCTTTCCTCTCAGGCAGCAGGTACCGTACATACAGCTGGACCTTAAAGAGACACACACAGCAGTCTCAAACTGTGACGACAGCACTGGAAGTGGAAAACAAAGAATGTTAAGGGTTTCATACGCAGATACGGCCTCGTGTCCGACAGGCTCAGAGACAAACCCTTCGCAGGTGTAAACTTACTCGATGGGTTTCCCTCGGATCTCCGCCATGATGGCGCTCTCTCCTCCCAGATACTCATAACACAGACTCAGGAAGTTGTAAATAACAAACGCTGTGGAGAAACAAAAAGAGAGTGGGATGATAAGGATCAAACAAACTCCATGTGTGTTACAAAGTCCAAAAATATTTTTTTTATTTGCTCAACAGGAAACAAACACTGCCATTGAATTGAACTTGGGCTACGGCTGCCTCAGAGGAGTCGACAGGGGAGAGGGTAGGCTCCAGAAACCATCTTATCACCATCAAACTGGTTGGCCCACTATATGAAGGTGCTGCTTGTGGGACTGAGTTTGTTGTAGCTCCTCAGACTGACGAAGTCCCTTGGATGAAATACGAAACATCTCAACAAAAAGAAACCGTCCACATGACCTGACTTAACTTTGTTGGATTTTTTACCTGGATTATTGAGCATGAACTTTGATCTTTAGCTTGAATATTTTTAGGACAGCACATAGCTAAAACTGTAAACCAAGAGGATCCCTTGTTTCCTGGTAGCCTCCTCCCAATGGCTTCTAGTAAAGTTTGGAATTAGAGTACATTTAAAATCACATTTTTATCACATATAAAAACTTAGATGGCCATGACTCCAGCCTTTATTAGAAAACCATATTCCTGATGAACACATGAAAAGTCTCTAGTCTCAAAGCAAAGACTTACTGGCTTTCAGAAATTTGAATCCAGACAGAGGATCAGCCTAAAGTGAAAACGAGCTTATTAACTGGTGCAATAATGAGTTAATGATCAAACCTAAAGCTGATCGATAACAATAGGGATGCACAATATTGGATTTTTGGCCGATATGGCAATATGTTAATACTTATTTGGCCGATAATCGATACAAATACTGATATATTTTTTTTCCTAGACCTACTTACAGAGACTACATATCTTTCTCTGCTGTGGAATTAAAACACGACATTATTCTGCATATTTGTCACTTTAGCCTGCTGCCAAATGCAGATGCCAAAAAAAGGGCTGAAAATGATGCAACATTTCAACTTGGATTATTTTAATTATTAATTTGTCAAATTTATTCACGACATTTACTCCAACACAATGACAGCCCTCGAACAGTGCAAATTTGTAAATGTTCACAAATCTAAACTCAACCTGTTCACAAGCGACAAGTGAAAAGTGCATAAGTAGTAGTGCATTAATGGATATACTTGACAGTTTCTTAAATTAAAAATTAATTTAAAATAGAAGTATTTTATATCGGTGAGTTATTTTGATGGAATGGTCGATGTCCGATATTTAACTTTATCGCTAATATCGGCCGATACGATACATGCCGATAATATCGTGCATCCCTATAAGGGTTTAACTTGTTTCAAATAAATTCAATTTCATGCAGGTTTTTTTTTATTACTAGTCATTTCTGCTTTTACGGTTCCACTAGAACTTTACAGATTTTCTTGTTTGTTTCCTCACTTGAGGTGTTTCTGGTTGTCTGTCTGCGGCCAAGTTTGTGTCACAGAGCTCGTGGACACATTACCAGCACTGACGGAGTTTGACTAAGGTCACACTGTGGGTCTGTGGTCTGATAATGGACCCAACAGGTACGTAAGGGCACCTGACTGACAAGAGACCAACAGTGAGCCTTTACTGCCAACTCTGTCATCACTTGATCTGACCACTGCAGTCACAACACAGGCAGTTTCATTACAGTTGCACTTTCTGTTTCATCTTCTGTGTCCTGACGCTGCTCAATAATACAGGTGGATAAATGTAACAAGGTCGAGTCAGGTCCTCTGGATGGATTCCTCTTTGTTGAAACTTTTTGTCTTTTATGCTTATTCTCCGTGTCCAACTGTCCCCCTCTTACAATGCTGTTATTGCTAGAATCACTCAGCCCTCTGTGAATAGCAAGCAGCCATCAGAGCACTAACGATCAATCGTTAGGCTGACGGTCCTCATTTACCATGTGAACAGCTAGTTCTGGCTGTCACCAGCAAACTGGTTGATCCACTATAAGGTGCTATTTATAAGACTGAGTTTGTTGCAGCTCCTCAGACTGAAGAATCTTTTGGATGAAAGATGAAACGTTTCAACAAGAAGAATCCGTCCAGAGGACCTGACTCAACCTTGTTAGATCTAATGTGACAATATTTAAAAAGAAGCGAAACACTCAAACTTCATAACTAGTTGAGCGCTAGTGTAAGAAAATCGTGTCTGATATCAGAAATAATAAACAAATATCCTAATGACTTGCTGACATATTTTTCAAAGCATTGCTTATATGATACAACTGCCTTCCATAGACCCATCTTTCTCTGCTGCAGCTATCTGTGGTCAGCCGCATCTGAAGTTTCATTTTTCACACAGCTGATTTGAATTAAACACGAAGGCTTTTGCTAACGCATGTTTATCTGAACCAGCCGTGTTTTTTGATGTAGAGTGATTAGATGGTAGTTTCTCTGCTTGTTATTTGTAAAATGCATGCAAAGACCATGTGTTGTGTGCCCTTACTGGGAAAGGTGATTGTATTTGGCATCAGTTCACTGGACCCGTCCAAAACGTCTGTACCGAACCGTCACGGTATGACTACATATACCGTTACACCCCCAGCGATAACCCAAAGAAATGATCTTAATAGTAATAGATATAAAAATAATACTAGAATTGTCAAAAACCAATGGTCCTTTTTTTGTGTTAGCACTTCTGCAATACATAAAAACACACCAGCGGTTGAGCTGAAACACCAGTAACCTAATAAGTGTTTTGGTGCACTTTAAACTAAGTTCCAGTTCGTAACCTTGAAATAAACAGCCCGAACAGACTTCAGGTCTCACCCCCCTTGGTGAAAGAACTCTTCATGGATTAATGTGGTCAGGTGCTAATCACCACACAGCACATTAAACACACACGCACACACACACGCACACACGCACACACGCACACACACACACACACACACCCTTCCCTGGCTGAATAATATCCCTGTCCCCTGTGACTGGTGGATAATCTCCAGTCTGTGCTGCTTCAGTCGGAGGCAGAAGCTTGTGAAAAACAACCAGGTTAATCCTGCTAACCCCCACCCCCGAGGACCACCCCGCCCCTGTTTGTGTCTACATGTACGTTCACAGTCTCTGGGCAGATGTCACTGCAAAAACAAAACAACACACTACCAGTTAGCTAAGTATGAAAGTGTGAAAACACGCCGTGGGTGTGATTCTGACTCGTAACCCTGGCAGTGATTCTTGCTGCGTCAGCACTCTGCAGTTAGTAGTTTCCTGTTTGTCCTTGTGTTCCTACCCCACCCACATCGTCTGTCATCTTCTGACTGATGTCAGACAAAACACAGAGGACGCCATATGGGCCATCTTTGTGTTTTAAAGCCTTTCATGCACACGTCGGCTGAGGAGACGCACGAGAACTGGTTGATCTTTAGAGGAGGCCGCTCTGCTGTTTACTACTGGTATGTTCTTTTACTCTTCCCAACGGACGCCTGTCGGCAGGGCTAGGTGCCATGGTGATACAGTAAGCCTGCATACAATGAGACGAGGAACTTTTCAGCAAGTTCGGTTGAGACGAACTCTTTCTGTGATGTTGGGTTGAGGAGGAAGGCATGCGAGCACGGTTGCCACGCAACAAGTTGCTGAGCAAGAGCTTCAAGAGAGAAATGTAAGGAGATGAGGGTAAAACAGGAGACAGAGGAGGAACAAGGAAGTACAACTGTGTGGAGGAAGACAGTACATGTGTAGAGAAAAGGAGGATGGATCAAGGAAAAGAAAAATGAGGAGGAGGTGAGCCATCTGTACGTAGGAGCCTTGTGACGATATTCACCGCACTTCCTGCCATGAACAGAACCATTCATAGAGTGATCCCCGTCCACATCAGCAAAGTGCTAAATCAGGACGTGACTATTTCTGTCCCAATAGTTGCAACTTTCAGAGGAATGACGATTGTCAACTACCTTTCACCACCTCCAGGCTTCATACGTGCAACGCATCAGAAAGTACCGTAATTTCTGGTCTATACGCCTCTACTTTGTTCACAGGCTTTGGACCATGCAGCTTATACAACGCTGCGGATAATTTATGGTTTTATTTAAATTATTTTTTGGACAGGCTATTGAGCTTCATGCCACCAAAACATTTAGCCTCGTCACATCCAGCTGCCCGATACATGGCTCTATTGGGGGGTGGGTCCTTGTGCCTCAATGAAACTATCGTTATAAATAAAGGTTAAAAAAATTCTGACCAATGAAATTACCAAACAGGTCACAGTGGACCAATGAAACTTTGAATTACCACAAATCAAATGCACTCATACAAAGTCATTCAGATCAGTTATTTTGTGCTTCATGCACAGACCCTCATCATGGACAATGCACAAAGAAATACAGATGATGCAGCTTTCAAGTTAAAGGCCATCGATCTGGCTGTCGAAAATGGAAACAGAGCTGCTGCACGTAAGCTTGACATCAATGAACCAATGGTTAGACCAGGGGCGATTCTAGAATCTGACCTCCAGGGGGGCTTAGCCCCTAGTGTTGACAATGGGTCATGGCTTGAACAACGCAGTGGCCATTTTTTTTGCTTTTCATTTGTGAAACGAGGTCAGAGGAAGCTGGTTCTGGTTCGGTCGATTGGACCCGGTGTTACACCATATTCTGTGACCTGCAACAGTGCATGCAACACCGCCCCCTACAGTCACAATATACGGTGGTCACAGAATATGGTGTAACACCGGTTCACAACGAGCTCCAAACAGTCAGGAAGTTGATTCATTTTCTGTTTCCTTACTGTAGTTGAACCAGAAGATTCATCTTTAGTGAAATATTTCCAGACTACTGATGTACTTCTACCTGTTTGCCAAGACTGGGCCTGCTCTGCTCCATCCGTCTGCTTGGAGGAATCCATTTTGTAGCCCGCACCCGGTGCAGATCACGTAACACATGACGCAATGACGTAATAGCGACGTAATGACGTCACCACGAATATTTGACATGAAATTAAAAAAACTCGATAGATGTCCTAGGAATTGATGTGTAGTTTACTCGAGTAGTCTGTTAAAGCCCTAGTCAGAAGCATTTGTAAAGTGTGTGTGTAGGGGGGGGGGGGACACTGGTGGAAGGGGCTGGGGGTCCTCCCCTATAAAATTTTGAATAAAGTAAATGCTATTTCCTGCATTCTGGTGTATGTTAATGTTTTTTTTAAACATCTATGTTTACCTACATAAGTAAACACTTGATTCAATAACTATTTTACAGAGCTCGACACAACAAGAAGTAGCGCTGAGCTAGCGGTGCGCAATATAGACGCGCTAGTTAAGATATTACAGACGTACTGAAACTACAAAGTTTTCAGCAGTATGAAAGTCAGTGAAATTACCACATTGTGAGATAGTTCAGCCATTTTGAAATGGGGTTTGGTGGGAACGTTATGAACAATAATTACAGCTGCATTACAGGATTAATCCAGCAGAAATATAATAATCTTGTTAGAGCTTACTGCTGCTGCTATGTGTGCCTACAAATAACCATAGAACTCCATGTCAACCGAATGTGAAACTGACAAAAGAACCATAATGATTGTACAATCCCTGCAAGTATTTTTCGCACCATTTAAAGTCACACATATCTTCAGTATTTTTGGAAAGGGGTCACACTTGGAATTAATAATTGAGAAAAGTTTTTATCTCGTCTGATTTTTCAGTTGAGAAAGAAAAACTTACGTCAAAATGTTTGATTTAGAAAACATAATGTCATGAAATGATCCCGCACAGTCTGCGAGTTTTGATTACAAACTTCTAGAGATGCCCTTACCCTCGTAACAGTCTCTGATGGTGTCAAAGTACACGTAGTACTGGTCATTGGTGAAGAAGAGGAGGCTGAGCCAGGAGTCGAAGGCGTAGATGGGAACGATGAAAAGGATTCGTACAATATGTCGCTGCTCCCTGGGTGAGCTGTAGAAACGGAGGTGCATGTAGATCTAGGACACACAGAAGAAGCTATTAAAAAATCTTCTAATGTCTATCAGGCAGTTTGAAAGATGGAAAGATCACATCCTGTCAGTGAAAACATTTTAAAGCAAAGGTGAAAAAACTGAATTCAAAGTTGTGAGTCTTAAATCAGAAAAGTTTAATTCTATAGAGCTGTGACATCTAGAGTTTTTCTCTCTCGAAAAGGAGGATGAAACCTGTGAGGACCACCGCTTTAGGCCCCTTCACAAGGATATGGCCGGGGTAAATGTAGTTTTTTGGATGTTGATTCGAGGGGGAAACAAAACCCTTGTTTACGATTATACAATCACATTCGGTGTTTACAGGCAACGAGACAAACACCCCATACCCCCCACCCACCCTCGAGTTCGCTGTAGTTGCCATGCCAGGTCATTAGTTGGCGCTGTGGGTTTTGTACATTCATCTAATGTGCATGCGTGCTGCTGAAAGCCCAGTAACAAAACTTAAATCTGGATTTTGGATACAAGTCGACAGATTTGACGCCAAACGGACCGCATGGTCTAACAGCTTCACACCGGTCGCTGAGCGAACCCGAACTGACGGATGAGGTCAGACTTCCCACTCCAGTGATAATCAGGAGCTGTCGAGCAATGCTACAGCAGGTAAATCAACATTATGGATAATGTTTGGTTACACAACAACCAACTAAGTTTTTATTTTTGTTTTTCCTATGAGGAGAAGCTGCCCTCCCACCATAGGGACCAGTTCCGAAACAGAGCACACACCTCGGCGGTGCAGGGGGAAGTCGAAGAGAGAGAAGTTGGAGCAACTGTTTGCTTAAAATTCCCCTCAGTTCTTTTTTTCCAATCCATTCAGTGTTTTAAGCTGCATTAAGCAAAGGAGTGACAGCCTGAACAAGCCAGATAAACAACATGGCGTCAGTCCAAGATGACAGAGAGGAAGGGTCCAGTTTTTATAGTGTTCAGTTTTCTTATCAGTGTTTGTGTGACATACAGTATGTGGTGTGGATTAAATAAATAATAATTAAACCTGATGTCCTTATGTTCAACTTTAATAACAGGCAACATGTTTCACATCTTTGTAATTTATTATTGTTACTGTTATTATTTAGCACAGAAAGCATTGTGTTATACTCCACATGTGCAAGCGTGAAATACACACTTGTAGTGCGCGTGTGCGACTGAACAATTTCTGTTTCTCACACCTCCTTGTGGGGGTTCCACCGAAAATCTCCACTCTGAGACCTGTGTTCAAAAGATTCAGAGAGCGGGGGCTGTTGTCGTGTAAGCGAACGGCCGAACCGCAGCAGGAAAGCTGCAGTTTCACTCAAAATACTCTATGCATCGTGTAAGCAGGGCTTTAGAGAGCTTCCCACCCTTCATCGTTTTGCACTCTTTATCATCAGTTTCTGTTTGACTTTCTGTTAATATCACTACCTTCAAAATCAATGCATTGTCTGACATCAGGCTACATGAATGCATAAAGAAAAAAAACGTCTATTCGGAGCTGATGCGAACTCCCACAAGCTTCACCTGTGCATGCAGCTGTGGGCTCATGATCTGCAGCATGTTGCCAAGCAGCCCCTGGTCTTCTCTGGACCTTCACCTGAGCGTTAAACGCCACACACACACACAACTTGTCCAAAAACCATCTTTGTAAAACCTCCAACGTCCCTACCTCCAAACTGATTACAAGAGTTTATTTGACCGAGCCATGAAGAAGCCATTACCTGGTGAGAGGTGAGGATGAGCGCAATCCAGACAAAGAAGCCAGACACAGCCTGCGCTGCCGGGGTCATCAAGAAGATAGGCTGGTCCGGGCCTAGGAGCGGGGCCTCGGAGAGCCACGATATGTTGGGCCCCATCGGTATGGCAGAAGACGAAGGTCTGGGAGACCCCATAAGAGGAGAGCCCTCCCCCGACCTCTCTGACAGCGGCACGTCTCGCCTCCACAGCCTTAACATCTGGAGGTGACACAGAGGTCGTAAAGCATGTCTCCCAACACAAAGTTTCATCCGTCACTTCCACCAGCAGTCATTAACCCGGAACATCGATCACACTCCGTTATCTGTGTAATTTGTAACCTAAGGCAAAAAGTCAGACGGAAGACAAACAAACAGGGTGCACGTCAATGCTTCCCTGTGACTAAAGAGGTGTTTGGTATGAAATATGGACTTCAGCACAGTTTCTAAAGAAATCTATAAGACCAAGCAGCTGTCACTCAGCTGTGGAGCAGAACGCCTCACACGTCTACCACAGCTTCTGAAGGGTTGAGGCTGGAAGAGGGGTCCCCGTCTCCAGGGTGGCACAGACATGTTCTCAGGGTGCGTTTGTGGTGTAGAAGCAGGTTAGAGCTTCTCTGTTTGTGTATCAGGAGAAGTGTGGCAGCAGGTCATTTGTATTAAAGGTGGAGGGGGGGGGGGGGGGGGGGGCCATCAGACCTGAAGAAGTGAAGGCATCAGCACCAACGCAAACAATACCACTGTCAGTGAAATGATGCTGAGGCAAAAGGACATCTGTTTGTTTCATGTGCTCTCTCACACACACACACACACACACACACACACACACACACACACACACACTGGAATAACAAATAAGGGAGGCAGGGGTCAGGAATAAAGCAACAGATGGGCTGTTGGGGTAATATTATTATTAACAGGCTGGATTATTGTAGCAGCATCGCCACAATGGTGGCTCTCCTTTAAACTAACTGTGACTTCAGCTTGCCTGTTTTTCCAATTGTACTTCAAGACAACCTGCTGATGCCTTTATAAAGTATGAATAATGTTGGGTTTTTCTTCTTAATGACGCTCTGTTTCAAACAAACAACTTTTTAATTGATTGTTTATCATAAAATATCCTGATGCATGCTCAATAATCCAGGCAGAAAAATCTAAAACAGTTAAATCTGGTCCTGTTTTGCTTTGTTTTTTGAATGTCCAGAGGACCAGATTTAACTTTTTACATGTTGATCATAAAGGTATTTCTGTTGACTTGTAGAAACTAAACTCACCTGGTGAATTACTTTGCTGCTTCAAATCCCTTTTGGCTCCTCTACAGATAATTTATTCGGCTAGAAAAGCCACAAAATCGGCCTTAATTCCTCCTTTCAGGGACGCTCCGTCGCTTCCAGGACATCCATGTTGACTCCCCAGCGGACTGCCCGTTAGCTCCGTGTCTCCCCCCGAAAAACAGGACAAAAACTCACCTCTAAAGTTTTACTCGCATGCTACGTAAGTTCAGTTTTATTTCCTTATTGCTCCTGTTTTTCCATTTTAACGCCTACAGTCGGTGTTTGAGGAGTTTAAGGAGCAGAGCGACACTTTTCTCGCCACTACTCCGCTGTAAAAGCCGTAGGATTAAAACGCCACATCACAGGCTCCGCCCATTCCCACAGAAGGAGTCAGGTCAGCCAATCACAATAGAGAACTTGAATGGGGCGGGGCTTTTGAAGTGAACGCTCTGAGTTTGCGCAGTGAGACGATGACGTAGCGCCTGAAACCAGAAATGGACTGTGTCAGAGTCAGAGATTCTTTATTGTCATTCACACCTCATGTGGTACATGTGGTGGAGCGAAATTATGTACACAGGGTCCCAGTTACATCCAACAATAAAATGTAAAAGAAAAACAATTATAACATGTAAGATATGAACTAAAAAAAACATAAACCATATATACACTAAGCACTAACAACAACAAAAAAACATTACGTCGAACATCAGCACAAACATGAACATGAATGTAGCAACACTGGCAACAATTTTAGCCTTTTCTTGATTTTATAGCAAAATTTAATTGAAATTTTTCATTTAAAATGTTTAAATTTAGTGATTGCAAGTTGCCAAAGTGCCAATTGAGTCAACATTTAACGAAAAGCAGCTTTTTTTTTTGCATATGAATTAAAAAGCATATAGTTTTAATTTAGTCATTAAAATTTCTAGAATTGCTCTGCTTAAGGTGGCTGCATGTTGGAGTAGCTCTGTTACTTTGTACATTCATTCTGAGTTATTGCTTTTGAAAACTTTAATTCCTCTTTTTTCTGGACGTAAATCGCTTTTAGTGGACGATTATTTCCTCTGGTATCAGATGCAGCTGGAAGGATTTTTACTGAAACTTTTTTACTTTTGGACATTTGCTATGATGCTTAACCATAACAAGATGTGTTTTTTTTTTTCTCTCAACCAGGAGCAGCAGCTGATTAACATTTCAAAAGCTCAAATAAAACCAGATCAACATCTGCAACCAGTTTCTTCAGATGCACTACAGACAAGAGATCCTTCCTGCCCATCAACATCTGTAACAACTCTTTAATATAAACAGGATAATGAATTATATTGAATTTCCCCATGAAATTAATAAAGTATTTTTAATTGAAAATAATTAAAAGGTAATATTAAGAATAAGTACAGCTATATTATCAGAAAGTCATTGCAAAGTCTTGAAAAAATTAATGAAGAAACAAAATCAGACAATATTTTTCCCGTATTGATAGTAATGCATTTTTAAATTTAATATTTGTGACCAGAACGCTGCCTAGCATGTGTTTATCTACAGAAAGAGACTGAAAAGAGGTCAAGCTTTACTGACAGGGAGTGGTGGCGCAGAGGATAGAGATGAGCCTGCGATCGGAAAATCGCAGATTCAACTCCCCGGACTGACATCAAAATGTGGGTGGAAAAGGTGAAACACCCACACCTGCCTCATTCTGGGCCCTTGAGCAAGTTAACCCCCATCATCTGCTCCCAAAACAGGTCTCTCTTGAAAATGAGTTCTCGTGACTCAACGAGAGAGACTACCTGTTTAAATAAAGGACAAATAAATAACATAAATAATATTTGTTTAGAGTACAGCCAATCAAATGTAGGTCAGTTGTGTGACTTTTGATGGATTCAGCAGAGTGCTTTGTTTACATTGAGTGTGTACCTGCAGTTCAGAACAATATATCTGGAAAACTAGATGTAAACATTTCACACTGAACTACGAGTTCAAGATAACCCCGTTTTATATTTGATGCCATATTTTACAATGAGTACATTTAAACAAAATATGTTTTTCAATTTCCCATTCCCTTCTTATCAGAACTGTGAAAGTCATCAACTGTTGATCTTATTAACGATAGAATACTGATTTTCAACAGTATTTTAACTTTTGTTTCAATTTAATTTAAACCGAGTTGTGAAATGTATGATGTAAAATTAGGCTTTTTTTTTTAAAATGTCTCTAAAAGCCTCTGTTACCCTTGTGCCACCATGATTAGTACCTCAGGGCTGTCTTCTCGGGCCACTTGCAGGGTTTCTTGATATTATACACTTCCTGAATATGGTGGTGGTACAAGCTGTGCAGGATCATGGATGCCATTTGTAGAGTGGCTCACAACTTCCAAGACTTGCGCTGGTTTTACACCAAAACAAAAGACCTAATAGGGTGTGTATATTTTTATTCAATCAGAAAATATACACAAATATAAAGTTTGAAGCATGGTAAAGATATATACAGGACATCCATTCTACCATACATACTTTTATCTTTGAAATACTCTTCCTTCTATTCACAAGAACCTCTCTGTTTTAGACTCTTAAGGTGTACCAAAACATTTAATTCACAGTTTTCTTTTTCTTTTTTTTTTGCCTCAGACAAGAAAGAATGGTACTTTTTCAGACTTATCTTAAATACCTCTGTCACATTCAGGCAAAATGTAGCTACATATACTGTACATGATGTACACAATGGGAAAAAAATAAAGAAAGGGGGGAATTTATAATAAAAATGTAACACCAGACTTGCTCATATCCAAGTTCAGATCACTTCAAGTCTTTTCATGCCTGGAGTTACAAGCTGGACTTCATCACATCATCACATTCCTCCATGCTTCCTCTTCTAGGCTCTTCAAAGAAGCAATGCTGTGAGTAAAACAAACGTTTAGGACAATGACGCAGATGATGTTTCTCCTCCTCTGATCCTCACCTCGGTCTACACTGCAGCATCTTCTTCTGTGTTCGTGTTTAGGTGGTTTGTAGATTTAACTAGAACACCAAAAGCAGCACATTTAGCTACCAAACAGGAAAATTCATATATTTTTGACCAGAGTTACTTTAAACTTAATCCTTTTTATTTGTGCAGCTGAGTGGATGTGAAGACAAATATGAACGAAGAAGGTCCGGACGTGTTTGTGTCGTGTCCACCCCAGGCGTAAAGGTTGTTACTCTCTGGTTTCCCTTCTTCTTCAAACGGCTTCATGCTCACACCGCAGACCCAGGGACAGACGCGCTCCGTTTACAGGTCAACACGATGCTTCCTCCTCCCTCACTCATTCATCATTTCATTCATTCATTTGAAAAAGTTTGGGAGGGGTCGATGGTCGTCAAATGCTGAATCATGAGACAAGAGAACAAAGGAATGACACTTTTTGAGTTAGTTACAGGATGGAGAACTTCAGAGGGACACTCAAAGGTCTGGTCGGTTTATAACAAGAATTAAAGGTGATTTTGAAGTTAGGCCTGTCACGATAACAAATTTTGCTGAGCGATCAATTGTCTCAGAATTTATTGCGATAAAACAATAATATTGTTTGAAATTTGACAATAATTAGAATGTCAAATTTAAGGAGAAATGTTGGTTAATTTTTGTATGTAGTACCTTTTTTGACCACTTGATGGCAGTATAAGACTGTTTGAACCGAAGGATGGATAGTGAAGGAGCGAGCAGCGTGTCTCTTTAAGAAAAATAAGAGGGAGGCCCCTTGACGTGACATGGGCTGTCTCTCGTTCCTGTTTTTCAGTTCTCAAAATGGCGGACGCTCGGTGTGGTTTGAGCTCTTTAGCGTAGCATTTATCACACAAAGCTTTTAATAAAAAAAATCAGTAAACAAGTTCTCAGCTTCTTTTTGCAGAGAAAAACAACTTTTTAGACAAAGGTACGGGTTTCAACCGTGAATTTTGGAGCTTCGACAAGACGGAGGTTTTTTTCTAGAGGTCGGCCTGTTAGCTTAGCTCGTAGCTTAGCTTCTCAGCTTAGCTGCTTTTAACGATCCAAAAACGGGATTTTGGATCGTTAAAACAGATTTTAAAGAAAAAAGAAAGGGAGGGGTCAGTGAAGAACACCGGAGTTTAGCTTTCTGTCATCCAGAAGAAAGAGAGCGACAGGAAGAAACGATAAAGCCGATAAATGAAAACGAGGTCGATCATTTTCATTTATCATGTGATTAATTGATTTATTGTTTATTGTGACAGGCCTATTTGAAGTAGAGGTTTGTGAAAAAGTAAGGGACTATATCTTATAAGCTGTACCGAGCTCTTTGAGTGGTCTCAATTTAAAGAAACAGTTTAATTCTGACAGGACTGATGAGCTAATGGCTAGTTTTAACGCAGCTGAGACCAAAGTAAATTGTTGCAATCTTAATGAACGTCAATCAAAAAACTTTCTAAGACCGAAGTCAGTTTTGTTAATTATTCCAGTGGAACTTCCAGCTGGAAGTGCCCCAGGCTGCACCTGAAGTATTGGGATTTTATTCTAACAATTACGCTCCGCATAAATAACTGTGTACTGTGAAACTGACAGTAGTATAAAGAGCTGTGGAACAGTGTTTGCATGAGCCACGACATTTTGGTGATTGTAGAGTTTCTTGTCAACCCAAATTCACTTTGGTCTTGCGTTCAGATTAGTCATTAGCTCTTTAGTCCTGTCAGAATTAAACTGCGTTACTTCAGATTGAGGGCATTCAAAGCACTATCCACAACAGGTAAGATATTCATTGTTCATCACTTTTCCCACATAACCCCAAATGATCCAAAGTATCTCGTTAAACCAGCAGAGATGCAAGTTTTAAATGATAAAGTCTCACATCAGACAGGTTTAGAAAAAACATCACAAATGACACGTTAAACAGCAAACTGATGTATTTCATGGAGGAGTGTGTGTTTATTGAACATTCATGATTTTGTTTTTACTGGGTCAACCTGGATATTAATAAACAAGAATAATAAGAAAAAAGAAACAACAACAACAATAGAATAAAAAAAACCATCTGGTTATTACTTTTTATTTTATTTTCTCTGGAATAATTTAAACAGTATTTATGTCTTTCTATATCTTGCAAAAAGATCTGAAGCCGTCGACTTTAAATGTACTAATGGAAAAGGGGCATTTGACCTCTCTAAGGGATATTAAACAAGTGTTAAGTTCAGTGCAAAAAATCAACACAGACATGTTCCTGTTTTTAGTATTTTACCTCATCTCATAATGTAGCTTAATTTTGTTTTGTTTTATATCACAGTTTTTATTTACTTTTCATTTTATTGCTCTTTATTGTTGTCTGCACCTCATCAGTGTTCTTTAATGTTTTTTTAATTGCCTCTCATGTAAATGAGTCCTCATGACTCAGTGAGACTAACCTGTATAAATAAAGGTTGAATGGATTTATACTGTGACCAGACTAAAAACTGGGAACTAGCAACGTGACATGGGTTACTGAGAAAAAAATACTTTAAAACTTTGGAGCAGCTCTTTGAGTTACTGTAAATAAAGAATCATAAACTGCAAACAAAGCACCTCCTCTCTTCATTTGAACTTCTGTTGAATAATTTCAACTTGACGTCATGCAAGTTGGTCTGTGGTCGTTCTGAACAAATGAGGAACTTTTCAAACTGATGTGTGTGTGCGTGTGTGTGTGTGTATTTGTGTGTGTGTGCATGTCCATCCATACCTGCTACTCACCTGCAGGCCACTGACAGGAAACTCATTTTGCCAGATGTTCAAACGGCACTTTGACCTGCGTGTTGAAAGAAAATAAGACCCTTAAATTAGCTCAGGGGTGCCCAGACTTTTTCATCATGCAGCTCCTTTTAAAATGACCAAGTCAAAGTGATCTACCTACTACAAGGCCCCGTTTACACGAGAACAACCTCTGGAAACAGTGTTTTTTCAATGTTTATTGGAGGTAAAAAAAAAAGAAAAAAAATGATCGGGTTTACATGAAAAACGCTGCAGTTTCCATGTCAGTTGGGATGCCAGATAAGAAATGATGAACTATAGTACAGTGACTTTAAAATGATAGTATTTTCACCTAAACTGTCAAATGTGCCGAGTAAAGATATTCTAAGATGAGGTGTTTGTTGAATGTATGCACAGAAAAGGAGTGGGGAAACAAGACTAGGCCTGTCACAATAACAAATTTTGCATATATACACACACACACACACACACACACATATATATATACATATCACAAGGAGAACACCTTCCCACAGTGAAGCGTGGTGGCAGCATCAAGCTGTGGTGGTGTTTTAATCAGAAGACTGAGAATCTGGTTAGAGTCAAATGAAAGATGGACGGAGAAGCTCTTGAGAGAACCCTGTTCTGTGATCCTGTAAAATGAGATGCCACTGAGTCAGCAGGAAGTTTCTTCTACCTGTGCTGCGCTGATGGGGGCTTGTTCGAGACGTGCGTTGTGGTCAGACGATGAGACCTTGGCAGGGGCCCCGCGGTGAAGCCTCATGGCCACCTTGCGCTCTCGCTCTGCTCGTTCTGCTCTCCCCACCTGAGGAGAATGGTTTCCTGCACACACGCCAGGACGTGACGCATCCAAGAACAGGTTTGACTCTGACACGGTAATGTTCAGAGAGCCTCCTCACCTGACGGCTGGGCCCCACGTGTTGCTGGATTGGAAGGAGTCGTCTCTGGCTCGTTCCTGACTCTGTTGGCTGCAGGGGTGTTTGGAGCATGAGGCAAAGCTCGACCTCCGGCTCCTTTTTGACCTGCCACTGCACGCTCCTCACCTTCTTTCCCGTCCCTTCTTTCTCTCTCACCGTCATCTGCTGTCCTGCTGGCCCCCTGAAATAAGAGAAGAGTAAGCTGCAAATGTTTGCTTGAAACTTAAAACAAGAACGACTTGTTTTTCTAAAAATAAGATGTATAATGGCTTCAGTTTTGAAGTTGCATCTGGCTAAGGTTTCTGGATTTTTAGTCAAAAGTCAGTACCATGTGCAAAAACAACATGCGAGCACAAAGTCCAGCTGTTAGACACAGTAGTGGAAGGCTAATGAATTAAGCAGCCTCAGAACCTGAAAACATTGATCATTGAGATGACTATAATGTCATCCATCCATCCATCCATCCATCCATCTTCTGCCACATATCTAATAACAGGTTGTAGACAATGGTTTAAGCAGAGATCTTTGGACCTCTTCTCTTCTTCCTTCTCCCAGCTCACCCAGAAAAACTCCAAGGTCTCCAGCAAGTCTTTAGTCTGCTCTGAAACACTTCCTTTGAAAGATGTCCAGACCACCTCAACTGGCTCTTTTCAATGTGGAGGAGCAGAGACTTTAAACTCCTACCAAATAGTTGAACCTCTCACCCCATCCTTAACGCGAGTCCATTACCTTCTTGTATTTTCAGTCTTTTTATTTTTGATGATTATCTCATGACTATAGGTGATGGTTAGGGATGTAGATTGACAGGTAAATTGAGAGTGTTTCCTTTACTTTACTCTCTTCTCATCTCAATAGATTGTTGCAGTGTCCACACCACTGCAGACACTGGCTCAATCTGCATAGGAAAGACTCCAACACACTTTGCTCACATCTTCATTTCACAGTCATTGTGGACAAGAGCTCGTGTCTTCTAGAGTCAAATGCAAGGCCATCTGTCTGACAGCTGAAGCTTGGCCCAAATCGGGTCACGCAATGGGACAATGGTACTGTGATTAGCAGCAAAACTACAAGAGAAGGTCTGAAGTGACAAAGTGTTGAAATACCTCTAATCTAGACCTCAGCCTGAACTGCTGCAGCAGGACCCCGAGAAAACTTTTCATCAATGAATGCCAACATTAATGAGGTAACGTCAAAAGAAGACTATACCAGAGCATCACTTCATTGATTGGAGAGACGTGCAGAAAACATTTACTTAGGTTTACTGCTGCTAAGGGGTTTATTTATGAGCTATTCTGGAGTGGATTAGGTTCTTCAGAGGCTGCATCTTTATGTTGGCTTGTTTATTTTTTTTTTGGCTTTTTACAAAGTACATAATGACATAATGCAATATATACAGTAGTCCCTCGTTTACTGCTGGGGATCCATACCCTGAAGACCCGCGATAAGTGAAAAACCGCAAAGTAGGAATAGTAGTGCAAGTAGTAAGTAGTAGTTTATTTTATTATTTATATAGATATATATAAAGGTGTTTTAAACCCTTCCTACACTCTTGCAATATTCTAAACAATGTTTATAAACACTAAATGCTCTAAAAGGGCACTGAATGTCATGATTTCAGCTCCCTGCCTCCTCTGCCCTCAGTCACCTGCAAGTGCTCTTGACCACGCCCACTTCTCCTCTCTGCACGCTGAACAGCTGATCAGCTGCAGCAGGAAGTTTATCCTGCAGTATGTGTTTCACAAATGTGCAGCAGGTGCTAACTAATTTAAAATAATTCATTTTAAATAAAAATTCCATGCCGATCGTGCGGATCATCCATCAATCAGCCAATTGTGTGTCATGTCCAGTCTTACTTTGAAAAACTGCGAAAGAGCGAGTCCGCAATAAACGAACCGTGATGTAGCGAGGGACTACTGTAATCCCAGCAATGGTCAGCCAGGTCATCTGGACAATTTACTTTTTTGTTAAGAGACATTTCGCCCTCCATCCAAAGGGCTTCATCAGTCTGATGAATCCCAAACTGTTTTCCCCACTAAGCAGTACACTCCTACAGTTTGCTGGTGATAAGATGGTTTCTGTGGGCCGTCCTCTCCAGACAGTCTTGTCCTTGAGTGTACTGCTTCATGGGGAAAACAGTTTGTTTGGGATTCCTCAGACTGATGAAGCTCTTTGGATGGAGGGCGAAACGTCTCAACAAAAAAAAAGAAAAGAAATTGTCCAGATGACCTGAATAAACATTGTTGGAATTTTTACCTGGATTATTGAGCTGGAACTTTGATCCCATTAATGTTCATCTTTCTTAGGCTATGTCTATCAGATATTACAAACTAGTTAGGATCAATATTCTACGCAGAACATTAAGCCTGTCTGACCTTTGACCCCATGCAGATTCAAGACAGCAATTCATTGAAAGTGTTGAAAGCTAATTTTACCCATAATGTAACACATTAAAAAACAGTGGGAATGCCAAGTTAAAAACCTGACCGTGTGGGGACGGAACTATAAAATGTTCAGCTGTAGCCGTGAAATCTTGACACTCACAAACTTCAGCATGTTCCAATCAAAGACGTAGTCATAGGAGAAGCCCTGTCTGTGGAAAAGGTTCCTGAAGAGTAGCCTCAAATAGGAGTAGTCGGGCTTGTCGTCGAATCGCAGAGAGCGGCACAAGTTCATGTAAAGGGAAAACTCAGCTGAGAAAAGAAGCAAAGTGGTCAAATATACAAATTGTGCTTCTATTAATGATGCCTGCAGTTATAAAAAAAAAACAAAAAAACACTTCCATCGAAATTTCACGCACAAGGGTATCCTTTGCAGAGCACCTCGATGGGGGTGGACATTTTCTTTTCACTGATGCGCTCATACTTCTGCCTCTTGGTTGCAGCTTTGAGGCCCTGCCATGGCAGAGAACCCAAGTTGAAGTACATGAGAACATAACCCAAAGACTCCAGGTCGTCTCTTCTTGACTGCTCTGTGGAGAAAATCAAAAAGTGAAGGGCAGGAAACACTTGAGGGCATACCTAGGTATGTGTGTGTGCTTTGGTCATCTTACCGATACCCAGGTGGGTGTTGATGGAGGCGTAGCGTGCAGTACCAGTGAGATTCTTATTTTCTCGGTAGGGGATGTGCTGGTGCGTTCGGGCATCACGGTATTTCTTGGCCAGGCCAAAGTCAATGATGTAGACCAGGTTGCCTTTCTTCCCGAGCCCCATCAGGAAGTTATCAGGCTTCACATCTCTGTGGATAAAGTTCTTAGAATGGATGAACTCAATCCTACTGATCTGTGGGGAACAGAGAAAAGGAACAGTGGTTTGGTGATAAGTGATGAGTACAAGTTTAGTCAGCTCGATAAAAGCCAAACACAGCGTACTACAGTATCAACACAAACGCGTCATAACATTTGCCAAGCGTGGCCATGGTGGTGGTGGTGGTGGTGGTGGGGGGGGATGATTTGCAGTTGTCAACAGTGAACTCCTCTGCAAGCCAAAGAATTCTAGAGACTGATGTGAGGCCGTCTGTCTGACAGCTAAATCTTGGCCCAAACTGGATCATGAAACGATTCTAAACACAGCAGAATCTCCAACCAAAAATCTGACAAAGAATCAAGGTGCTGAAACGGTCCACTCAAAGTCCAGACCTGAACCTGATTAAAATGCTGTGGTGGAACCTTAGGAGATGGGTAGTCGGGTCCCGGAGGCAACAGATCCCGGAGAGAAATCCAGACATCCTTCTCCCCAGCAACATTTTTCCAGCTCGTTATGGGGGACCCCGAGGCATCCCCAGGCCAGAGAATATACACCATACCTCCAGTGACTTCTGGCTCTTCTCTGGGATCTCCTATCAGTGGGACTTGTCCGGAAAAACTATAAAGACCAGGAGGCATTCTTATCGGATGACCGAATCACCTCAACCGACTCCTTTCGACACGGAGGAGCAGTGGCTCTACGCTGAGCTCCCTCCGGATGACAGAGCTCCTAAGACTGAGCCAGACCACCCTGCGAAGGAAGCCCATTTTGATGCTTGTATCCAGGATCTCGTTCTTTCAGTCATGATCCAAACCTCATGACCATAGGATGAGGGTTGAAACTTGGATGGACTGGTAAATTGAGAGCTTTGCCTTTTTGACTCAACTCTTTCTTCACCACAACTGACCGACGCAACGCCCTCATTACTGAGGATGAGGTCCCAATCCGTCAATCCATCTCCCGCTTCATCATCACACTTGACCTCCTCCACCTGAGACAAAGTCTCCCCACCACCAACCCCAGCCCAGAGGGGGGCATTAGGGCCAGCTGTGGCTGAGTGGTTAGAACAGCTGTCCTCCAACGGGAGAGTTGTGGGTTCGATTCCACCACTATGCAGTCACGTTGATGTGTCCCTGGGAAAGACACTGAACGTCTCACTGCCTCTGATGTGTGTTTTTGTTCAAGTTCAAGTTCAAGTCAACTTTATTGTCATTTACCACCTCATGTGGTACATGAGGTGGTACGAAATTGTGTACACAGGATCCCAGTTTCACCCAAAAATAGCAAAATATAAAGTATAAACAAGAATCTAAGCTATATGCTAAACACTAATAATGTAAAACAATATGGCGTAACAACAGCAGCTCGAACATGAGTCTGTGGTGAGCAGATCGGTATGAATGAATACAGCAGCATGAGATAATCAGCAGCATATGATCAGCAGCATGAGATCAGCAGCACAGATAAGTCACATAACACCAGTTAAAGTGGCATTACAGCGATTATCCTGGTTAGGGCTTTGCGAGTCTAACAGTGTCATGGTAGAAGCTGTTCCTCAGCCTAGTGGTTCTACACTTAATGCTCCCTTCTGCCTGAGGAGAGTGGAACAAAGAATGTGTGTGCTGGGTGAGTGGGGTCCTTGTACACTTGAGGTTAGATTTAAATAACATTAAAACATTAAAACCTCGCAAATGGACTTTATTTTCACAACCAAATTTCATGAATACAAACGATGTCTTTGTGAAATTAAAAGACTGTTTTTAAAGTTGCAGATCAAGATGGCTGAAGCTATTATAGATTCATGTGTTCATGGTTTTACCATCTGATCGGCCAGCAGCAGGACCGTTTTCAAACTGAACTTGCGGGAGCAGAAGTTGAACAAGTCCTCCAGACTGGGGCCCAGCAGCTCCATCACCATCACGTTGTAGTCTCCTTCTGCACCGCACCACTTAATAAGTGGGATTCCCACTGAGGGGTGGGAGGAAATGAAACAAGGACACAAGAGGGTTAGGAGACACAGTAGGCTTCAGTCACCACCACTGGGTTCATTCTGGAGCACAGACGACACTGTGATATACTATAAACACAGCTACTCAACGGCCAACACAAAAATGTCTATAACTTGGTCATTTTCACACATATTAAGTTAAAATTTGACATCACCATTGATGAGAATGGTTTCTAACACAGGGTCAAGAAGGGGGAGAGGTAGGGCAGCCGACTCGGGACCCGAAAGTGCCAGGTTCGATCCCCACCCATTCCCACATATCGTGGTGTCTATGAGCCAGACACCTAATCCCCAATTGCTCCTCGGGCACTTACCATATTTTCTGGCCTATAAATCGTATCAGTCCAAAAATTTCTAATAATTTGGAAATATCCATAAATAAGTCGCATTTGTTACGTGTCACCGCTGAAAACCTGAAAATGTGGGCCGGTGTTGTGCCAAAAATTGGTTGTCTGCCAAATGGCGGCTGTGGGAGCGTGGACAGGAGGACTTTAACAAGAATTTAAGATTAACACTTAAAAACAATTATTTATTTGCTCAAAATTATAGTAAAGGTGTGTCTCAGTCTAACTATTACTTAATAAAAGCACTTTGATGGTCAAATCAGCTGCATATCAAAAGTATTTGCTGCCTCGGTGCTCCGGGAGCATGCAGAGGGAGGAAGTCAGGAAGGAGGAACGCTGCGTATTTCTTCTAAATTTAACAAGATAATCACCTAAAACAATTGTTTGCTTGACTTTATAGTAAAGGTGTGTCTCAGGTGAACTTTTACTTAATAAATGCACTTTAATGGCGAATCAGCTTCATTTTGCCGGGGCGGTGCAGCAAAATGAAGCTGATTTGACAGTTGCTCCAGGCGAGCTGGACAAAGGAGGCAGACTTTGGCAAGCGGATTGTGTCATTAATAGCCACTTTTACCTATTACATGACACACCGGCATGCCGTACTACTCGAGTGCCATCTAGAGGCTAAAAATAGTAGTGTTCAATATTTTCAATGTCAGAATGAATGAAAATGGTCATATCTCAGCCAAAAATTGGTATATAAACATGGGGGGAAAACACAAGTGGCTTCTGGGTATAAGTCGCAAGGTATGTAAATTATGCACAAAGGTGCGACTTATAGGCCGGAAAATACGGTACAAAACTGCCCACTGCTCCACCTGGGTGTATCTCAGATGTGATGGGTTAAATGCAGAGAACTAATTTCACCATTGTTTGGGAACATACAATGATGACAACACATAGCACTTTATTATTATTATAATTATTATTATTATTATTACTATTACATGGTCAACATATGGCCCCAGGGCCAAAAGTGGACCATGAACAATCTCCATTTTTAAATTTAAAATAAACAAATCGATGAAAACCTGCATTTCATTAATGAAAATCTAAATTAAACATCAAATACATGTAAAACTTTTGGATTAGGATGGGCCTTTTTTTTTCTGGTAAGTTTTTGTGTTTCCAGAACTTGATTGAACCATAAAGACAAAAAAAAAAAAAGAAAAGGCAAACATAACGTTTGTAGCACATTTTAAGCTAAGAAATATGTTGCACAAGAGCAAGTTTAGAGAAAGTATGGCATACATTTCTCCAGGGTATTGGGGAAGCATATTTTCAACAAGCGTGCTAACTATGCTACAACAAGACAAAGCCTGGAAATGTCTCTTAGATTCGCTGTCTTGACACAATTTTCATTTCCAATTCAATATACATCCCTTTGATTGATTTAAACAACTTGATTTGGCACTCTGGAAACCAAATGTTGCCCACCCCTGGCCTGCGTGGTTTAAATCTGACACAGTTACAGGGTGTGTACATCTCTCTGTGTGTCTTACGTCCACCCTGCATCATTTTGTAGAATTTGCTCTCGATGTGGAGCTGTGGATGTTTGGTCTTGACACATTCCAGTTTGATGGCGACTTCCTCTCCTGTAGTGATGTTTGAACCTGATGGGAGAAACACATGGGAGGGGTGCGGCAGAATGAAACATGTTGCAGTTCATTCAGTATGTTTGAAAAGGCTTGTTCTTCTCACCGAGGTAAATGTCTCCAAAGGATCCACTCCCTATCTTCCTGCCGAGGCGATATTTGTTCCCCACGCGTAGCTCCATTTCTCCTGAGCGTTTCAACTTACTGAAGGGTTAAACACACACACAAACGTGCACAAAGCTCTCATCAATCAGCTGTAATCAATACAGGAAAAAGACACTGTGGTGCAAAGATGCAGACTTACAAAAAACTATGAGCCCTGCAGACTGCTGTGTCATGAAAGAAAAGAAAACCACACGCCAGAGCGATAGCAGAGAGGAAATGGAAGGCAAAGTTAAACCAGAGAAATTATTTCTTCTGTGAAAATACGGTGCATGCTGAGCGCTGGATGACTGAAGAAGATAAAAGTGGGTTAACGCTAACTGATGCACAACATTAGCTAAAAGTTAAAAAGGTGAAAAACACAGCAGGAGGAAGTAAAATGTCAACTATAAGCAGCCAAATGCTAGGTGAAAGTAGCAAAATGCTAGCTAAAAAAAAGGAGAAAAACAAAAGTTGAAAGTAAAACACACTCTACAAGTAGCAAAAAGCTAGCTTAAAAAGAAGCAAAACACTAGCTAAAAGGGAGCAAAACATTATAGCTAGAAAGGAGCAAAACATTAGCTAAAAGGAGCAAAACACTAGCTAAAAAAGGAGCAAACCACTAACTAAAAAGGGAGCAAAACACTAGCTAAAAAGAGAGCAAAACACTAGCTAAAAAGAGAGCAAAACACTAGCTAAAAAAAGAGAACAAAACACTAGCTAAAATATCCTGATGCATGCTCAATAATCCAGGTAGAAAAATCCAAAAAAGTTCAATCTGGTCCTCTGGACCAGATTGAACTTGACTCTGAGACGGTGCTATTTAAGAGACTGAGCTGAATACAGCACCTCAGACTGAGGAAGTCTCTCGGATGAGAGACGAAACGTTTCTACATTTTTTTGTTGATTTGCTTTGTTTTGTTTTTTTGAATGTCCAGAGGACCAGACTGAACTTTTTTGGACTAGCTAAAATATAGCAAAATACTAGCTAAAAAGAAAGTAAAACAATAGCTAAAAAGAGAGCAAAATAATAGCTAAAAATGGAGCAAAACACTAGTTCAAAAGAGAGCGAAATACTAGCTAAAAAGAA